CCCTGTTGCACGCCCTCACATGAGTCAATTTCATGGTCTCCAAACAATAGTTTGGAAGTCACACTATAACACGATTCTATGAAGGGATAAAGGGAAGGGAAGTTTCTATAAACTGCTTAGAGAGCAGCATCCCTTCTGACTGAATTGAAAGCATTGGCAAAGTCCAATTTGACCAAGGCTTTTTCATCGGACATGTTGTTGATATATACTCATGCTGCGTGGGCAGCTGCTTCACAGCCCTGTTGAATGCCAAAACTGAGCTGAGTTGGTTTCAGCATTGCAGCAGCCTCTTGACTCACCCTTCTTACTGCAGCCTTGGCGACTAGGCGCCGAAGGGTGTTGCCCACTGCAATGGGCCTGATTCCGCCATCCTTTTTCCGGAGGGCACACAATGGGGCACCAAATAAAGGGGTCTGATGGCCTCTGGGGCACTGCCAGCCAGGCACAAGTTGGAAAATTTGGTGAGTTCAGACAGCAGCCTCTCTGAAACATCACCAAGTGCTGGACTGAATATTTGCTTTAAGTGTTGAGGCCTTAAACTGGTGAAACCTCCTGCTGAGCCCTGTGGAAATGACATAGCAACTTTATACACATCAGCATCCTGTCAGGGAGGTCAATGTTGGTACTGGGAGCCCTGGGTGGATGTTTGTCCTTCAGAGCTTGCGCCATGCTGACATCCTTGGGAGCGATGGTATCCTCACTGGTTATAAGCCTCAGAGCTTCAATAGTATTACCCTCTTCTATTTTTTTGCTAATTTGGGCTCTGATTTTTGAGGCGTCGGGTGTCCTGTTGTTGGCATTTGCCCAGTGGGTGTTTGTTGCCCTAGGGGGAAGACGGATGAGGTTGTCATCCCTTGGGAATGCATTTATTGCCCTAATAACATTGTTGCTAGTGACTTGTCCCTCCTTGGTGGGACAGCCAAACAGGCATTGCCAAAAAGCAGCAGGTTGTGCCAGGATCTGTTGTTTAAAGGAGCATCGTTGACTTTCTTCAGGTCAGTGAATTTGCTAGCAGCTTGAGGGCGAGCTGCTTTGGGGATGTGTGTCAGCATCCTGGTGGATGTTAATTTGATTGCAGATTTGAGGTCCTCTGTAGAGGTGAAGTCACGGTAGCTGTCAGCACTGTCTGCTGGGAGGGGCTGTTGGTTGTTCTTAGTTGGAGCTCTCCTGGAGCCTATATATATGTACAGTGGACCCCCGCATAGCGAACGCCTTGCATAGCGAACATTCCGCATAGCGAACGCTTTGATCGCTAAAATTTTGCCCCGCATAGTAGACAAAAACCCGCTCAGCGAACTTCGTCCGAGACGCGTCCAATGTGGGCCCTCAGCCAGCCTCACATGTGCCGCCCGTCCCATTGTTTACCAGCTAGCCTCCGCGGTAACATTCAAGCATACACTCGGAATATTTCGTATTATTACAGTGTTTTCGGTTCTGTTTGTTGAAAATAAGTGACCATGGGCCCCAAGAAAGCTTCTAGTGCCAACCCTGTGGTAAAAAGGGTGAGAATTAGTATGGAAATTAAGAAAGATTTTGAAGGGTTTGGGGCTAACCCTGAGAAGCCTATGCCAGTTGTGGAATCCATTGTGCCTACTTCAAAAATTAAGGAAATGTGTGCACAGTGGGTTGAACTGCAAACCTTTATGGATGAAAATCACCCTGACACAGCTGTTGCAAGGCGTGCTGGTGACTATTTCAATGACAATGTTATGGCCCATTTTAGACAAATCGTAAAGGAACGGGAGGTACAGAGCTCTATGGACAGAAAGAAGTCCAGTGACTCTGAAGCTGGTCCTAGTGGCATTAAAAGAAGAAGGGAAGTAACCCCGGAAAAGGACTTGCCTCCTCAAGTGTTAATGGAAGGGGATTCCCCTTCTAAACACTAACACTCTCTCTCCCCTCCTCCCATCCCATCAATCATCACCAGATCTTCAATAAAAGTAAGTGTCATGTAATTGTGCATGCCTTTTTCAGTTTGTGTGTACTAAAATTAACATTTTTTTGTGGTAAAAAAATTTTTTTTTCATACTTTTGGGTGTCTTGCACGGATTAATTTTATTTCCATTATTTCTTATGGGGAAAATTAATTCGCATAGCGAACATTTCGCATAACGACCAGCCCTCTTGCACGGATTAAGTTCGCTATGCGGGGGTCCACTGTATATATCAAGTGTTTATTTATAAATATATTAAACAACCGTGGTTGTTTAATATATTTATAGATGGGGTTGTAAGAGAAGTAAATGCGAGGGTCTTGGCAAGAGGCGTGGAGTTAAAAGATAAAGAATCACACACAAAGTGGGAGTTGTCACAGCTGCTCTTTGCTGATGACACTGTGCTCTTGGGAGATTCTGAAGAGAAGCTGCAGAGATTGGTGGATGAATTTGGTAGGGTGTGCAAAAGAAGAAAATTAAAGGTGAATACAGGAAAGAGTAAGGTTATGAGGATAACAAAAAGATTAGGTGATGAAAGATTGAATATCAGATTGGAGGGAGAGAGTATGGAGGAGGTGAACGTATTCAGATATTTGGGAGTGGACGTGTCAGCGGATGGGTCTATGAAAGATGAGGTGAATCATAGAATTGATGAGGGAAAAAGAGTGAGTGGTGCACTTAGGAGTCTGTGGAGACAAAGAACTTTGTCCTTGGAGGCAAAGAGGGGAATGTATGAGAGTATAGTTTTACCAACGCTCTTATATGGTGTGAAGCGTGGGTGATGAATGTTGCAGCGAGGAGAAGGCTGGAGGCAGTGGAGATGTCATGTCTGGAGGGCAATGTGTGGTGTGAATATAATGCAGAGAATTCGTAGTTTGGAAGTTAGGAGGAGGTGCGGGATTACCAAAACTGTTGTCCAGAGGGCTGAGGAAGGTTGTTGAGGTGGTTCGGACATGTAGAGAGAATGGAGCGAAACAGAATGACTTCAAAGGTGTATCAGTCTGTAGTGGAAGGAAGGAGGGGTAGGGGTCGGCCTAGGAAGGGTTGGAGGGAGGGGGTAAAGGAGGTTTTGTGTGCGAGGGGCTTGGACTTCCAGCAGGCATGCGTGAGCGTGTTTGATAGGAGTGAATGGAGACAAATGGTTTTTAATACTTGACGTGCTGTTGGAGTGTGAGCAAAGTAACATTTATGAAGGGATTCAGGGAAACCGGCAGGCCGGACTTGAGTCCTGGAGATGGGAAGTACAGTGCCTGCACTCTGAAGGAGGGGTGTTAATGTTGCAGTTTAAAAACTGTAGTGTAAAGCACCCTTCTGGCAAGACAGTGATGGAGTGAATGATGGTGAAACTTTTTCTTTTTCGGGCCACCCTGCCTTGGTGGGAATCGGCCAGTGTGATAATAATAAAAATTAAAAGTTAAGTAGACAATATTTTTTCTTCATAAAATTTTACTTAGTTTAGTGAATGACTTTTTCTTTTCTAATATTTTAAGGTAATTAATGTACCAATGTACTATAATGTACCAATGTACTGTAATGTACCAATGTACTGTAATGTACCAATGTACTGTAATGTACCAAGGTACTGTAATGTACCAAGGTACTGTAATGTACCAAGGTACTGTAATGTACCAACATACTGTAATGTACCAATGTAGTGTAACATACCAATGTACTGTAATGTACCAAGATACTGTAATATACCAATGTACTGTAATGTACCAAGATACTGTAATGTACCAAGGTACTGTAATGTACCAAGGTACTGTAATGTACCAAGGTACTGTAATGTACCAAGGTACTGTAATGTACCAAGGTACTGTAATGTACCAAGGTACTGTAATGTACCAAGGTACTGTAATGTACCAAGGTACTGTAATGTACCAACATACTGTAATGTACCAATGTACTGTAATGTATGTTATTATACTATGCAACAGTGAGTGGTACTTTGAGGTATCTAATTTTACCATGTAACTGGCAGGACTTGGACATTCTTCAGAGGAGGTGCCTTGATAGTGAGGGGGCTCTTGATCCAGGGAACTGGAGTTTCTCTTCCTTGAAATGAACCAGATTATCTCTCATTTCCTAGGTGCTGTATGATCCTTACACTGGTTTAGCACCTCACAATGACGATAATAATAATAGAGTACTTATGTACTTATATAACTAAATTAGGGCTTAGAGGATATAGGTTATACAGGAAATGTTATATCATGAAATTACATAATATTCTATTGATTTTTTTTTTTTTTTTGCATCAGACAAGGTCATAACCTTAAAATTCTATGAAATAAGTCTTCTCAGAGAAGAGTCCTTAATGCCAGTGAGGGGCTTTTGATTCAAGGAACTGGGCCTGTCCTTGGACTGAACCTGAATGCCTCCCATTTTCCCAAAGCACTATATGACCCTATGAGTTTAGTGCTCCCCTATGAGTGTAATAATCTGAAGTGTGTTGCCTCAACTCTGTAGTTTCAAATATTAATATAAATTATTTTCACTTATTCATAGAGGAACACTAAACCATTAGGGATTTATACATTATAATCAAAACTACGCACTAAACCCACCAGGGTCATACAGTGCTGCAGGGGCTTATAGAGCACCTGGGAAATTGAATGAAAATCAAATTTGATCCAGGGAACGGGAAGAGAAGCGTAGCTCCAACGCCTTAAATCAAAATCCCTTCACCTGCATCAAAGCATCCCCCTTGAAGGGCGAGATATGATAAGAGAGATAAAGTATTAACTTGCTGCATCAACAAGTAACATTCACACAAGACTTTACCCAAATGTTCCTTGACCAATCTTGTCAAGTTTTTCATATTTGCTGACTTCGTCACAGTAAGGAAAGTTGAGGTCTTCATACATCTTTTCCCTACACCCCATCATCTTGACGACCTTCTTGTTCCCTTCTTTGTACAGTTTACATTAAGACAATTCACCTAAGATTGTCTTCTCACAATTTTGATTAATCAACAGAAACTTCCTTTCGTTTATTTACTTCTCTCAGGTGAACCAACTTGAGTCTTTCACTTTTTTAATCTATTTGGGCGATAAAGAGCAAGTAAAAAGAAAAACTGTATATATGTATTATATAAACATTAAATACTCTATGAAGCTGCACGGATAAATACATAAATAACAATTTTTAAGTTTCGTATATTCAATGTAAATGAAGCGTTGTGGTTGGTATTCCCGCCTGCTATAAACAACGTCAAAGATGATGGAGTCTGACGTGAGGTTCACACTTTGAACAAAGTTTGCGGCTTCTGTGCCGCTGTTGGAGTACTAACTGGGGACGTTTCGCCCAACCCCCATGCCTTGAGTAACAGTGACGAATGTCCCCTCCTTTCTTTTCCTGCAACGTTTGTCCTTAATTATTCATTGTCCGCTGGCGGGTAGGAGAGTCGGGACGCCATGCTTCAACTCATAGGCCCCAGAAAAGCCTGTTCTTGTTGTCTCACATATAAGGGTAATGACTCAATAAGTTTATTTAGGCGCAAGTTTACACAATTTTTGGATTATTACAATTGTATTGCATAGTAACATATGTGTAAATTACCTAGGATAACCCCCAAAAATGTCAGATACATTTCCATTATGGTTTTTTTGAAGAATAGTGATGTGACAATGCTCAGTGTCCCGTTACTCGGTTGGTAGCGTATTCAGCTCACACACTGAGGTCCGGAGTTCGATCCCCGGTAAAGGAAACAACCTGCTGTCCATGTTCATCAAGCAGTGAAATAGGTACCTGGGTGTTAGTGGACTGGTGTGGATCGCATCCTGAGGACAAAATTGACCTAATTTTCCCAAAATGCTCGGTATACTGTATGTATGAGTTATAGCATCAAGGCAGGTGGGGGGAGGGTGCCTTGATGCTGGTGAGGAGCTCTTGATCCAAGAAATGGGACTTGCGTTCCCCCTGACTGAGATATGATTGTCTCCCTCTCCAAGGTGCTGCATGACCCCGTAGGTTTAGCGTTCTCCCCTGAACATATTAATGATATTACAATACGTAGAGCATGGAAGACTACAAAGATGTGTAGTGTATGTGGGAGTGAGGACAAGTGCTGGTAGTAGTTTGTAGTACCAGGAATATTATCAGGTACTGTAGTAACAGGAATATTGCCAGGTACTGTAGCATCAGGAATATTGTCCAGGTTTTGATGTACGGAATCTTCAGGCAAGGCTCGACGCAGTTGAACCGGCGATCCAGTTTACACTAGAAGAAGAGAACAGGACGATAATAAACTGTGCACGATTAGGGTCACAAGTGACATGGTCCTTAGGCAAATAGATAAATTAAAACCTAACAAATCCCCAGGCCCTGATGAACTGTATGCAAGGGTTCTAAAGGAATGTAAAGAGGAGCTTAGCACACCTTTGGCTAATCTTTTCAACATATCACTACAAACTGGCATGGTGCCAGATAAGTGGAAAATGGCAAATGTGATACCTATTTTCAAAACAGGTGACAGGTCCTTAGCTTCGAACTATAGACCAATAAGCCTAACCTCTATAGTGGGAAAATTTATGGAATCAATAATTGCCGAGGCAGTTCGTAGCCACCTTGAAAAGCATAAATTAATCAACGAATCTCAGCATGGTTTTACAAAGGGGCGTTCCTGCCTTACGAATTTATTAACTTTTTTCACTAAGGTATTTGAGGAGGTAGATCATGGTAATGAATATGATATTGTGTATATGGACTTCAGTAAGGCTTTTGACAGGGTCACACATCAGAGACTATTGAGGAAAATTAAAGCACATGGAATAGGAGGAGAAATTTTTTCCTGGATAGAGGCATGGTTGACAAATAGGCAGCAGAGAGTTTGCATAAATGGGAGAAATCAGAGTGGGGAAGCGTCACGAGCGGTGTTCCACAGGGGTCAGTGTTGGGCCCCTGCTGTTCACAATCTACATAAACGACATAGATGAGGGCATAAAGAGCGACATCGGCAAGTTTGCCGATGACACCAAAATAGGCCGTCGAATTCATTCTGACGAGGACATTCGAGCACTCCAGGAAGATTTGAATAGACTGATGCAGTGGTCGGAGAAGTGGCAGATGCAGTTTAATATAGACAAATGCAAAGTTCTAAATGTTGGACAGGACAATAACCATGCCACATATAAACTAAATAATGTAGATCTTAATATTACGGATTGCGAAAAAGATTTAGGAGTTCTGGTTAGCAGTAATCTGAAACCAAGACAACAGTGCATAAGTGTTCGCAATAAAGCTAATAGAATCCTTGGCTTCATATCAAGAAGCATAAATAATAGGAGTCTTCAGGTTGTTCTTCAACTCTATACATCATTGGTTAGGCCTCATTTAGATTATGCTGCACAGTTTTGGTCACCGTATTACAGGATGGATATAAATTCTCTGGAAAATGTACAAAGGAGGATGACAAAGTTGATCCCATGTATCAGAAACCTTCCCTATGAGGATAGACTAAAGGCCCTGAATCTGCACTCTCTAGAAAGACGTAGAATTAGGGGGGATATGATTGAGGTGTATAAATGGAAGACGGGAATAAATAAAGGGGATGTAAATAGTGTGCTGAAAATATCTAGCCTAGACAGGACTCGCAGCAATGGTTTTAAGTTGGAAAAATTCAGATTCAGGAAGGATATAGGAAAGTACTGGTTTGGTAATAGAGTTGTGGATGAGTGGAACAAACTCCCGAGTACAGTTATAGAGGCCAGAACGTTGTGTAGCTTTAAAAATAGGTTGGATAAATACATGAGTGGATGTGGGTGGGTGTGAGTTGGACCTGATAGCTTGTGCTACCAGGTCGGTTGCCGTGTTCCTCCCTTAAGTCAATGTGACCTGACCTGACTAGGTTGGGTGCATTGGCTTAAGCCGGTAGGAGACTTGGACCTGCCTCGCATGGGCCAGTAGACCTTCTACAGTGTTCCTTCTTTCTTATGTTCTTATGTTCTTAAGAGTCCAATGACAAGCTACCTTTCCTCGACGTCCTCTTTCACAAAGTAGACAACAACCTAAGATTTCAAGTTTATCGGAAACCTACCAATAATATATTATTCCAGACAATGGAACAATACTCTTCTCCAGACTGAGGGACTGACCACCTCAAAACTTTAAGGGTGATGGACTGATTACATCGTCTTCAAGTCTCTTCTGCTTCTATCAACTTTGCTGTACTCGACTGAAGAAGCCTACTGTGTAGGCGAAACGTTTCGAAATAAAGATACCTAACTGTTGCATATGTGTCTTACCTAAACAACCTGTCGGTATTTTATACCATTTTATTGTTCAACCTTCACTGAGTTACATTTTCCTTCCGTTTTCATCAAAGACTGCAAGAAAAGAGCTCTTCAGATTATTAATTCTCCACGCACCAACATCACTCCCAACAAAGTTATAATTCTTCCCAACAGGCAGGTTGTACTGAACGTTTCTAAAGTACTTTCACAAGCTAACACCAGAGTTGCCATCGCTTCCAGCACTTCAATAAAGGATTTGACCAGGACAAAATCAAAGCACCACGAACCAGTCAATGCAGGGGTTTACACTGTACCCTGTGGAGGTTGCGACAAGATTTATGTAGGTGAAACAGCAAGAAACCTCGACACCCGCCTCAATGAACACATTTATGCATGTAGGAACGATAACTTGAACAACGCCTGTGTACAACACCGAAATTCCACTAATCATCTCATGAAGTTCAGGGATGCCCAATTAGTGATCAAAGAAACTAATTTCTGCAGACGCAAGTGCCTCGAATCAGCACTAATCGCTGTTTCGAATACAGTTAAACAAAACAAAGGCAGCTTCACCATCTCTGAAGTCTTTGCAAGAATCCTCCTGAAAACAGTAAACCCTGCCATCACATAGTCTCTCCTGTTAATACTACACAAAGCACATTACAGAGAGTGAACACTGAAACAGGCCTTCTCTATCCAGTCTATATTTGTCTAACCTATTTTTATGTTACGCAAGTAATAGCTTTTATATCCTTTTACTCATGTACGAGTTAATTGCTCTACCATATTGTATTACTACTACTACTACAACTTATGTCACTTCTACTACTACTACCACTAGTGTGGAAAATATATAGTATATTTTCCGAAAATAGTGTATTGGTATGTAAATTAATAAAATATATTGTATTTAATAAAAATTATATTATAAAAATGGGAAGCCTGTGCCTGTGCAGAAGAGACTCACCATTGTTGTTTGAATTGAGTAACAAACGTTAGTGAATAATGTGAAGAATTTTCGTGCTCTAGAGGTAAAATTGGGCTGACACTTCTCAAATAGGAGCCAAAATTGTTGGATGTGCATTCCTGCATAACTTGAGATATCAGGCGACTGGACAAGACAGCTCCAGGAACCTCAGATAAGTTTGTTTATGTTTGTAACTCTGGCCAGTGTTATTTTCATGGATAGACAGTGAGGTTTTCTGAGTATGATACGCCTTAATCTCCAGTCAAATTGGTGAGTGATATTAAGATATATTCTCCTTATGTTATGTAAATGTGTATATATATAATAATTTATTAATTTTAATATACAATCCACAAATTTATATATTTACCAGAATTCCTGGTGATACATATTTCATTTGTAATTAATAGGTCTAGAGCAACTTGTGGATATGACAGTTGTAAGTATCGAAGGAGGACATTTTTGGGACCTAGGTGTCCCAAATTCCTACTTGTCTATGTAACTTTGATAAATAATAATTATCTTTGTTATCATTTACTGTTATGTACATAATGAGTTACATTCAGATAAATGCAATTTTCCATAACTAGTATTGCACCTCACTCTGAGCCTATATATACCCTCTGTGTCCATGTACTGTTCGTAACGGCTTGACAAAGCTCCTGGAGAGCGAAACTTTGCCACAATAAAATGTCACATTAGTTGCACTTGTGTCCTTTTACTTTACAGTAATATTGCCAGGTACTGCAGTAACAGGAATATTGCCAAGTACTGTAGTAACAGGAATATTGCCAGGTACTGTAGTAACAGGAATATTGCCAGGTACTGTAGTAACAGAAATATTGCCAGGTACTGTAGTAACAGGAATATTGCCAGGTACTGTAGCATCAGGAATATTGCCAGGTACTGTAGTAACAGGAATATTGCCAGGTACTGTAGAATCAGGAATATTGCCAGGTACTGTAGTAACAGGAATATTGCCAGGTACTGTAGCATCAAGAATATTGCCAGGTATTGTAGTATCAGGAATATTACCAGGTACTGTGGTAACAGGTATATTTCCAGGTATTGTAGTATCAGGAATATTGCAGGTACTGTAGCATCAGGGATATTGCCAGGTACTGTAGCATCAGGAATATTGCCAGGTATTGCAGTATCAGGAATATTACCAGGTACTGTGGTAACAGGTATATTGCCAGGTATTGTAGTATCAGGAATATTGCCAGGTATTGTAGTAATAGGAATATTGCCAGGTACTGTAGTATCAGGGATATTGCCAGGTACTGAGACCCACATAAAGGATCACTTGGACAACGAAATATGGATCCCAGGTTACAACCTATACAGATGTGACAGAGTGAACAGGCAAAAGGGGGGGTTGGCCTGTACATTGCAGAGTCACTTGTTTGCACAGAACTGCTTAATGCCTCAAATGATGTAGTGGAAGTTTTAGCAGTAAAGATCGAGAACCAAAACCTAGTCATTGTGGTAGTCTACAAGCCTCCGGATGCAACATCCCAGCAATTCCAGGAACAGCTGTTAAAAATTGACCACTGTCTGGAAAATCTTCCAGCTCCTGCACCCAACATCTTGCTCCTGGGGATTTCAACTTAAGGCACCTAAAATGGAGGAATATAGCAAATAATATTGTTGCAGTAATAACACCAGGATGCAGCTCTGATGAAAACTCATACTCACACGAGCTTTTAAATCTCTGCACAAAATTCAATTTAAACCAGCAAATAATAGAGCCTACTAGACTGAAGAATACACTAGACCTCATCTTCACTAACAATGATGATCTGATAAGAAATGTCATCATATCAAAAACAATATACTCAGATCACAACATAATTGAGGTTCAGACATGTATGCGTGGAGCCCCAGACCGACATAATGAGACTAGTCACGAGGGAGCATCCACCAAATTCAACTTCAATAACAAAAGCATAAAGTGGGACCAAGTAAACCAAGTCCTAACCGATATAAGCTGGGAAGATATACTAAGCAACACAGACCCCAACTTATGCCTAGAACAGATTAACTTGGTGGCACTCAATGTATGCACAAGGCTTATTCCTCTAAGAAAAAGGAGGAGTAGATGTAAAATAGAAAGAGACAGGCGCTCCCTTTACAGGCGACGGAAAAGAATAACAGAGCGGCTAAAAGAGGTCAATATATCTGAAATGCGTAGGGAGACACTGGTCAGAGAAATAGCAAGCATCGAACTTAAGCTAAAGGAATCTTATAGGAGTCAGGAATCGCGGGAAGAACTAAAAGCCATAAATGAAATCGAAAGAAACCCAAAGTATTTCTTCTCCTATGCCAAATCAAAGTCGAGAACAACGTCCAGTATTGGGCCCCTACTTAAACAAGATGGGTCCTACACAGATGACAGCAAGGAAATGAGTGAGCTACTCAAGCCCCAATATGACTCAGTTTTTAGCAAGCCGCTAACCAGACTGAGAGTCAAGATCAAAATGAATTTTTTATGAGAGAGCCACAAAATTTGATTAACACAAGCCTATCCGATGTTATCCTGACGCCAAATGACTTCGAACAGGCGATAAATGGCAAGCCCATGCACTCTGCCCCAGGGCCAGACTCATGGAACTCCGTGTTCATCAAGAACTGCAAGAAGCCCCTATCACGAGCCTTTTCCATCCTATGGAGAGGGAGCATGGACACGGGGGTCGTCCCACAGTTACTGAAAACAACAGACATAGCCCCACTCCACAAAGGGGGCAGTAAAGCAACAGCAAAGAACTACAGACCAATAGCACTAACATCCCATATCATAAAAATCTTTGAAAGGGTCCTAAGAAGCAAGATCACCACCCATCTAGAAACCCATCAGTTACACAACCCAGGGCAACATGGGTTTAGAACAGGTCGCTCCTGTCTCAACTATTGGATCACTACGACAAAGTCCTAAATGCACTAGAAGACAAAAAGAATGCAGATGTAATATATACAGACTTTGCAAAAGCCTTCGACAAGTGTGACCATGGCGTAATAGCGCACAAAATGCGCGCTAAAGGAATAACAAGGAAAGTCGGTCGATGGATCTATAATTTCCTCACTAACAGAACACAGAGAGTAGTCGTCAACAGAGTAAAGTCCGAGGCAGCTAAGGTGAAAAGCTCTGTTCCACAAGGCACAGTACTCGCTCCCATCTTGTTCCTCATCCTCATATCCGACATAGACAAGGATGTCAGCCACAGCACCGTGTCTTCCTTTGCAGATGACACCCGAATCTGCATGACAGTGTCTTCCATTGCAGACACTGCAAGGCTCCAGGCGGACATCAACCAAATCTTTCAGTGGGCTGCAGAAAACAATATGAAGTTCAACGATGAGAAATTTCAATTACTCAGATATGGTAAACACGAGGAAATTAAATCTTCATCAGAGTACAAAACAAATTCTGGCCACAAAATAGAGCGAAACACCAATGTCAAAGACCTGGGAGTGATCATGTCGAAGGATCTCACCTTCAAGGACCATAATATTGTATCAATCGCTTCTGCTAGAAAAATGACAGGATGGATAATGAGAACCTTTAAAACTAGGGAGGCCAAGCCCATGATGACACTCTTCAGGTCACTTGTTCTATCTAGGCTGGAATATTGCTGCACACTAACAGCACCTTTCAAGGCAGGTGAAATTGCTGACCTAGAAAATGTACAGAGAACCTTCACGGCGTGCATAACGGAGATAAAACACCTCAATTACTGGGAGTGCTTGAGGTTCTTAAACTTGTATTCCCTGGAACGCAGGCGGGAGAGATACATGATTATATACACCTGGAAAATCCTAGAGGAACTAGTACCGAACTTGCACACGAAAATCACTCACTACGAAAGCAAAAGACTTGGCAGACGATGCATCATCCCCCAATGAAAAGCAGGGGTGTCACTAGCACGTTAAGAGACCATACAATAAGTGTCAGGGGCCCGAGACTGTTCAACTGCCTCCCAGCATACATAAGGGGGATTACCAACAGACCCCTGGCAGTCTTCAAGCTGGCACTGGACAAGCACCTAAAGTCGGTTCCTGACCAGCCGGGCTGTGGCTCGTACGTTGGTTTGCGTGCAGCCAGCAGTAACAGCCTGGTTGATCAGGCTCTGATCCACCAGGAGGCCTGGTTACAGACCGGGCCGCGGGGGCGTTGACCCCCGGAACTCTCTCCAGGTAAACTCCAGGTAACAGGTATATTGCCAGGTATTGTAGTATCAGGAATATTACCAGGTATTGTAGTACCAGGAATATTGCCAGGTACTGTAGTAACAGGAATATTGCCAGGTATTGTAGTAACAGGAATATTGCCAGGTACTGTAGTAACAGGAATATTGCCAGGTACTGTAGTACCAGGAATATTGTCCAGGTATTGTAGTAACAGGAATATTGCCAGGTACTGTAGTAACAGGAATATTGCCAGGTACTGTAGTACCAGGAATATTGCCAGGTATTATAGTATCCCTAATCTACCATTAACCTGGACACTAGTCATACTTTTCGAATATCACTCGCACAAAATCGTTAGAAAGAGAATGACTAGATAAAGCGAATTTTCCCGAATTAGCAAAACACGGATTTTCCCGGATTACCATGCTAGCCCAGTGCGACCACCCAAGCTATGACACACTTCATTAGATTCTCTACTAACATATAATCCATACCTAAGAATAAAATAGATCCTTGTTTCGTTGTACCTCCTGAACGGCTTGTTTATTAAGCCCTCCATGTTCATCCTGCGAGTGATAGCGGAAAAAAAATACGGAATTAGAGATCACAATGGGTCTTTATGAGGAAAATAAAAAGAAATATTTATTTTCATATATTACATTTACTTCATATATTTAATGTACACAATACATTATGGAAATTTAAAAAATGGCATCTTGTTAACTATAAAAACATTGGTTACTGCTGGATTGCAATAAAAATCACTTGTCATCTAGTAGATGCGAAATGCGGATACAGCCTCGAGATATCAGATATCTTATCATCAACAATGAAGTGTTTTGTTATATCGTGAAAGGTGTGTCAGAAACGTTGGATGTTTGAATGTTGTTAGTCGACTGGTGTGGGTCGCATCCTGGGACAAAATTAACTTAATTTGCCCGAAATGCTCTGCATAAGAAGCGGATTTCTATATAGTAGTATGTCATTGATGTCAGCTAGACTTGTATACTTTGTACATGTACATGTAGTAAATAAAGATATTATTATTCTATAATGCTGCAGTGTATGGCCCTGTCTCTATCCACACACTTTGTATTTTGTCATTGGATCTCCATACAAAAACAGTACTGCCAGAGATACTTATAGCCTAGCCTTAGTCTAGTAGTAACACCATCTTGCAATCTACTGGTCTTGTTAGTTTCCCCATAGATGTGTTTAACTTGACACGTTTCATTGTGATAGATAATGGATCCATGATGACACTCTTCAGGTCACTTGTTCTATCTAGGCTGGAATATTGCTGCACACTAACAGCACCTTTCAAGGCAGGTGAAATTGCTGACCTAGAAAATGTACAGAGAACCTTCACGGCGCGCATAACGGAGATAAAACACCTCAATTACTGGGAGTGCTTGAGGTTCTTAAACTTGAATTCCCTGGAACGCAGGCGGGAGAGATACATGATTATATACACCTGGAAAATCCTAGAGGGACTAGTACCGAACTTGCACACGAAAATCACTCACTACGAAAGCAAAAGACTTGGCAGACGATGCAACATCCCCCCAATGAAAAGCAGGGGTGTCACTAGCACGTTAAGAGACCATACAATAAGTGTCAGGGGCCCGAGACTGTTCAACTGCCTCCCAGCATACATAAGGGGGATTACCAACAGACCCCTGGCAGTCTTCAAGCTGGCACTGGACAAGCACCTAAAGTCGGTTCCTGACCAGCCGGGCTGTGGCTCGTACGTTAGTTTGCGTGCAGCCAGCAGTAACAGTCTGGTTGATCAGGCTCTGATCCACCAGGAGGCCTGGTCACAGACCGAGCTGCGGGGGCGTTGACCCCCGGAACTCTCTCCAGGTAAACTCCAGGTAATACCTGAAGGGGGTTTCGGAGGTCAACGCCCCCACGGCCCGGTCCGTGACCAGGCTTCATGGTGGATCGAGGGCCTGACCAACAGGTTGTTATTGCTGGCCGCACGTCAACTCACGTACAGGTCACAGCCCGGTTGGTCAGGTACTGACTTTAGGTGCCTGTCCAGTGCCTTCTTGTAGATAGCCAGGGATCCACTGGTAATCCCCCTTATGTATATTGGGAGGCAGTTGAACAGTCTTGGACCCCTGTCACTTATTGTGTTGTCTCTTACCGTATTCGTGACCCTCCCTACTTTTCATTCGCTGGATGTTGCATCTGCGAAGTCTTTTGCTTTCGTAGGGAATGATTTTCGTGTGCAGATTTGGGACTAGTTCCTCCAGGATTTTCCAAGTGTATATTATCATGTATCTTTCTCGCCTGCATTCCAGGGAATACAATTCAAGGAACTTCAACCATTCTTAGTAATTCAGATGTTTTATCGTACTTATGCGTGCCCTGAAAGTTCTCGGTACATTCTCCAGGTCAGCAGTTTTGCCTGCCTTGAAAGGGGCAGTTAGTGTACAGCAATATTCGAGCCTAGAGAGAACAAGCGATATGAAGAGAATCAAAATGGGCTTGGCATCACTAGTTTTGAAGGTTCTCATTATCCATCCTATCATTTTCCTAGCAGTTGTGGTAGATACATTGTTATCTTTGAAAGTGATATTCTCTGACATTATCACTACCAGGTCCTTCACATTAGTTTTTTCGCTCTATTGTGTGGTTGGAATTTGTTTAATACTTCGATACAGTTTTAATTTCCTCGAGTTTTCATAGACGAGTAATTGAAATTTGTCTTCACTGAACTTCATATTGTTTTCTGTGACCCACTTAAAGATCTGGTTGATGTCCGCTTTGGAGACTTGCAGTGTCTTCGACGGATGACACTCTTGCAGATTCCGGGCGTCATCCGCAAAGGACACGGTGCTGTGGCTTACATCTCTCTATATCAGATATGAGGATGAGGAACAGGATGGGAGCGAGAACTGTATTTTGTAGGGCAGAGTTTTTCACTGTATCCGCCTCTGACTTTACTCTGTTTACTATTATTTTTTGTGTTCTGTTTGTTAGGAAGTTACAGATCCATCTGCCAACTTTTCCTGTTATTCCTTTATCACGCATTTTATGTGCTATTACACCATGATCGCACTGTCGGGGCAGATAACGGCCCACCTATCCTGGTGGGCTGGCGTCCGCCCACCAGGATAGGTGGTAGATAACAGCTTTTGCTGTTACCTGCCAGGGAGGTGGGAAATGCTGCCGTTTCTTAGCACAATACACTTCATGTAGTCCAAACATTTTTTATGTGGCTGTTATTTGAATCCATCTTTATTAACTTTTCCCATGAATGATGTGTTTTAGCAATTATGTAGAGACAACACTGTTTTGATTACCAGACAGCAGCTTCAGTCATAGCATGATACGGGTTTCACGTATTCTATCAGCAACACTAGGTATATACATAGTTCTCTCCTCATATTAAATATTTTGGTGATTATAGAAAAGCCAAGAATAATTCAGAGGGGCTTCGTTTAGTGTTCTTGAAGTCTTTCACTGGCACTACTGTGTTGTAGGACTAAACGCATCATTCTTGCAACTCAAACATTTGTACCAGTTAAGACTGTACCCTACAACAGTTCTGACAGCTTCAACTGTCTATACATTGTTGGTTAATTTTATTCGCAACTGTTAGTGTATACTGAACAGTAATAATTAGATATTTATAGGTCATATAATCAATAGATCTACATAATCAACAGACCTGTCATTAACTTTTAATTTTGATGGTTACGGTTACCCCAGACAATAACTCGCAGATAGGAGAAACTTGTCGACGTTCCGGTCGGACTCTGAGCATTAACTAGTGAAACATTAACACATGAAGGTAAGGGAGCCAGTATATATATACGAGAGGAAGGGCTTTTCTACAGAAATGATAAGACCAAAATTGTCACAGTGTGTTTGTGTATATGATTGGAATATTTGCATTTCACGCTGCACTTTAGTATGGTCAAGAATATCGTCGGTTAGTTTAATATCTTCATTATGCACCCCTTACCCATCCTGTGGGAGATACTGCTGGGGGTATCTGATATAGATTTAAGTAGGGCGCTGATTAATGTATTAAACAGCGTATGACTTCATACACCGCCTTGGGGAGTGCCAAGTAGCATTTCTTTAGTTTCACTTTTGTATCCCCGAAACAATGCAGCAGTTTCAGTTAGTACGATACCCATTTTTTTTTAACGAACTGGCCGTATCCCACCGAGGCAGGGTAACCTAAAAAGAAAAGCTATTTGTTTTATATTTAGTAATGTATACAGGAGAAGGGGTTACTAGCCCCTTTCTCTCGGCATCTTAGTCGCCTCTTACAACCCAAAATAATATCAACTGTAAAAGTAGATCACCAATGTCCATTTTAGCTAGTTCATACAATATGACTTCTCTATTTGCAACATCGAAAGCATTTGAATTATCGAGAAGAATCTCGTGTATTTGTGCGTTGCGGCGTTCCCAAGGTTCACGTTTGTGGCAACTTGGTACAACCTTATGTGAATCCAATAATAATGGAAGACATGTGTTCTTTAATTCTGTATAGTAATCTTTTATGTACAATCCTATCAGTGTTTTACACAGTTAATCAATGAGAGAGGGCGAAAGACATTATGTTGGTTAGGTTTGGGTATTGGCACAGTAATGTTACCGGTCCACAAGGAAAGTAACCGACTCTTATAACTCATACTAAATAGTTGTATCGGTGGGTTACCAGGTACGCTGCTTATTATGCTATTATGGCTGAGGTAAACAAGAGAGTAGACAGCAGGTGAGCAGTAAAGACGCCAGGTTCCTCGTGGTACTCTGTAGTGTTGCAGCCTCGTCACCACATACTCAACTCGTCACTACTGTAATAAAAGATACATACATATTCTTAGACAGTAACTGATCAGGATGAGTAAGTTCTACTGTACCACAGGATGCCTCTGGTGGATAGTGTGAGAGACAGAGGGGTGGGAGGAATACCTCCCCTCACATACTATTCCTGTTTTTCTAGATGGTAAATGAGATCCCAGTTCTTCAGATGCTTTGATGCAAGAGTGCTCTTGACCCCCCCCCCCCCCAAAAAAAAAATAAATAAATAAATAAACGGAGATATCTTCCCTTTCTTTGGATCAAATCTGACTGACTACCAGACATTCCCAAGGCGCTCTGTGACTACGGGTTTTGCGCTCTCTTGCTCCTCCAGTATAAAAATGATGTTAATAAAAGCTCTAGCTTAAGTTCCAAAAAAAACGAACTCTGATGAAAAGATCATCCATTATCATCCATTGTACTACACAGTAATCTATGTGGTATTACTGTTAGTTTCCCTCAAAAATTTATACATCAATCAATTACAGCAAATATATTGCAATAATAAGGATTAAAATAAAGTAACATTTTTTCCACGAACCAGTAAAATTCACAATTAAGCTTCTGGTGGGCTAGTTCCTTAAGTTCGTACAACCGGTTGTTATCAATGGCAGGAGACGAGAGGCGGATCCCACCCTTGTCCTTGACCCGCACCTCCAGCCTCGCCAGCTCACTCAACAGTTCCTCACACTTGTTAACATGTATGCTGCTTCGAGGGAACATGATACTCTGGTACTGCCTGCAGAGCAAATCAAGTTTAGAGTTGTAAAGTTTTCAAGTTACTGTTGTTTGTGGTGAGTTCATTGTTAATACTTTTAGATACGGTTGTTACACATAAGTTCATTTACCCAAATTCAAGTGACTACATTTATCATGCATAGTAATATATTGCAAACAATAGCAGAGAGGCGATCTTAACAATGCAAGACAAGATCTCCAACCTTTTTAGTTCAGTTGAAAATTTTAAAGGGCCCTCAAAAACAAAGTGAAATGTGGATGAAGGTGCAAGACAACCAAAGGGGGAGTTGAATGATAGTTATAGGCCTTTCGTGCTGCAATCAACACATCTTCAGGAGCTTGCAGTGTTGCAGAAATGAGTTGGAAGTCCAAGCAGATTAGTTCAGGGGAACTTTCTAGCTGGAATAATGTAGGGAGTCAGGAGACGCCGGGTGCAACTGGTCTGCCAGGGACTGGACCGGAAAACTTTGCGGTCCAGTCCCTGGACCCATTATGTACCTCTGTAATCTTTCGACTACCTCCCACGAGAAGGGGTATAGGGGTGTATAATAAAGATGTTAATCAGTAACAAACACGTAACAATATGTACTAGACATGTATCTCTCAAACAGTATATGTCATCTTTATACCAACAATGTATCTCTTAAATCTTTTGTACCATATTATGTAATAAAATGTACCTATTGGTAATAAAATTATATATATATATATATATATATATATATATATATATATATATATATATATATATATATATATATATATATATATATATATATATATATATATATATATGCAGGACAAGCCACAGGGGTTGTGGCTCGTACGTTGGACTGCGTGCGGCCAGCAGTAACAGCCTAGTTGATCAGGCCCTGATACATCGGGAGGCCTGGTCATGGACCGGGCCGCGGGGGCGTTGATCCCCGGAATAACCTCCAGGTAACCTCCAGGGGTGGTGGATATCTTTAGCTCAAGTACTTTCACACTTCTCAGTGCGTCATCAGCAGCTGCGCAATGTTGCAAGGGAGCAACCAAAGCAGGGAGAAAGGTCTCAGCGTAGGTGTCACCGTCCACGGTTACCCTTAGACTGGGTTAGTGGTCGGTGCCAACCCCACCCTACCATCATCCCCCTACTACCCTTATGGGGTAGGAGGGTTTCTGAGATGTCAAGTAGGAAATTGTAAGATATAAAAAGCCAGCCCTAAGCTTTTTCTAATCGTTTATAAAAGGTCATGTGGTTTGAGAAAATAAGTTTCTCGTTAGATACTGTAGACATGGATAGCTATTATTCTGTGTGACCTTTTCAAATGATGAAAGAAAGGAATACAATGTACTCTTTGTCCATTTAAATGTCCTGCTCTGGGATACTCGAATGTTCTACCGATGTACTCAGAAGTATCTCTTCCTAAATATTGTCTATTAGTAGACAATATTGGTTGCTCCCTTGCAACATTGCACAGCTCCTGATGATGCACCGAGAAGTGTGAAAGTACTTGAGCTAAAGATTTCCCCTCTCCCTGGCTTGTCCTGCATAGTTAAGATTGCCCATCTGCGATTGTTTGCATATATATACATATACATATATATATATATATATATATATATATATATATATATATATATATATATATATATATATATATATATATATATATATATATATATATTGACAGAACATTCACAAAACTACGATACAAAGTAAAACAACATAGGTAACTCAGAGCTACATCTCGAATACTTCGTCCAGCTCCCCGGCGGTGGGCCGCGTGCCCAGAATGCTGCAGGCATTTCCTATATATATATATATATATATATATATATATATATATATATATGTCATGTGGGTTTTTCAATACGTGGATCCACGTACTACTACTGATATATATATATATATATATATATATATATATATATATATATATATATATATATATATATATATATATATATATATATATATATATATATATATATATATATATATATATATATATATATAATATATTGTACTGGTTGAATGGTAATGGTGAATTATGGTTCAAGAGTTACTTACCCTTGTGGTGGGAGGAGTGCACGGATGACAACACAAGCCTTGTCCACCTGGTCATCCTTCACGTCAGACAACCACAGTGTCTCACATTCATTAACTTTAGCCTTCACCACTGGCAGTGGGATTAAGGCTTTAGGTGACACTTCTTTCATCACGTGCACACCTGAAGAAATTCAGACACAACTTATATATATTTTTTTTTTTAGAATTTGGTGATACACAGCCTAGCTATCTTTTTTTTTTTTTGTTGCGCAGCACTTTCTTCTGTGTAACACAGCATCACTTCTAGAAGTGAATCCTCCAAAATCTGATTATATACTATTTCAGAGCAGATTTTCTATGGTTTCTTAACTAGACACAAAATTGGTGGCAAAGCTCTTGCTTCACACGCTGAGGGGTCCGGTTTCGATTCCCGGCAAGGGTGGAAACATTGGGAGTGTTTCTTTACACCGGCTGTCCATGGAGAGTGTCTGCCCTGGAGAGTGTCTGCCCAGGAGTGTCTGCCCTGAAGAGTGTCTGCCCTGGAGAGTGTCTGCCCTGGAGAGTGTCTGCCCTGGAAAGTGTCTGCCCTGGAGAGTGTCTGCCCTGGTGAGTGTCTGCCCTGAAGAGTGTCTGCCCTGAAGAGTGTGCCCTGGAGAGTGTCTGCCCTGGAGAGTGTCTGCCCTGGAGAGTGTCTGCCCAGGAGAGTGCCCATGGAGTGTGTCTGCCCTGGAAAATGTCTGCCATGGAGTGTCTGTCATGGAGTGTCTGCCATGGAGTGTCTGCCATGGAGAATGTCTGCCATGGAGTGTCTGCCATGGAGTGTCTGCCATGTAGAATGTCTGCCTTGGACAATGTCTGTCATGGAGTGTCTGCCATGGAGAATGTCTGCCATGGAGTGTCTGCCTTAGACAATGTCTGCCATGGAGTGTCTGCCATGGAGTGTCTGCCATGGAGAATGTCTGCCATGGAGTGTCTGCCATGGAGAGCATCTGCCATGGAGAATGTCTGCCTTGGACAATGTCTGCCATGGAGTGTCTGCCATGGAGAATGTCTGCCATGGAGTGTCTGCCATGGAGAGCGTCTGCCATGGAGAATGTCTGCCATGGAGTGTCTGCCTTAGACAATGTCTGCCATGGAGTGTCTGCCATGGAGTGTCTGCCATGGAGAATGTCTGCCATGGAGTGTCTGCCATGGAGTGTCTGCCATGGAGAATGTCTGCCATGGAGTGTCTGCCATGGAGTGTCTGCCATGGAGAATGTCTGCCATGGAGTGTCTGCCTTGGAGTGTCTGCCATGGAGTGTCTGCCATGGAGTGTCTGCCATGGAGAATGTCTGCCATGGAGTGTCTGCCTTGGAGTGTCTGCCATGGAGTGTCTGCCATGGAGTGTCTGCCATGGAGAATGTCTGCCATGAAGAGTGTCTGCCATGGAGAATGTCTGCCATGAAGAGTGTCTGCCTTGGACAATGTCATGAAGAGTGAACGTGTATGGAGACTAGCTTCATAAATGTTAATGAATTATATGCACAACTGACCTTAATGCAAGTAATAATAATAATAATAATAATAATAATAATAATAATAATAATAATAATAATAGCTTGTAATATTAAAAACTATATACCTTGTTTATATATCTATCACTACTGCTTATTGGGGAGTGCTCACTGGCTGAACTTAACCAGTTAATAGATAGAAAAATATTTATTTAATATCATCCCTTCACTGATGATGGTGCTGTCGAAATAATTAATTAATACTTACCTAGATAGTCAAGTTTCTGTTTCTTGACCAATCTAATCAGCTCCTCACAGATCACTGTAGCTTGTTTATCGTTCACTAGGGTGATGCGCAGATGTGTTATGGTCACAGGAATCTCTGCAAGACTTCGCAAATTCCCTGTGAAGTGTGACACTCGGCATCTGGAATTACAGTAATTTCCGAGTTTTTTGGAAATTACAATGAATATTTTGGCTATTATTGAAGGCTACTCCTCGGCGGAAATCGGGCATTATTTTGTATTTTACGATACATGCAAACTGTCTATACGAACTAATATTATCTCTGGTTCAAATTATTTAGTGAGATATTATATACTTGTGCCTCCTCCCATGGGAGACTTACGTCTCGAGATACTCCCCAGATAGGGAGCCAAGGCCGGGTCACTACTACTTGGAGAAGACCCGGGCCGGGAAAATACCGGCGAATAAAAAAGAAAATAGGAAAATAATGCCATTTTTTGGACTCGAATGCACATTCAGGACCAATCAACGATTGGTGTTGAGACAGATGATGTGTCTGGCCAATCAGCGAACGTATGCAAAGTCACGACATTTCGGACGTAAACAAAGACACCACATTTCCATCTCAACTAATATGAAGCTACGTTCTCTTATGTAAGTTTATTTAAGCACAGGTACACAAAAGTATAATTATCACGCATAGTGTAAATTACATAGGATAACCCAAGGAAGTCAGACTGACTTATTTCCACTGGGGTTATGATGGGTTACATAAGGTTATATTAGGTTTTCTTCCCACTTAATAATGGCCGATTTAAAATATAATTTATCTTCACAATGCTTTGAGGAACAGCTTTCAATAATTTACTGATATTTTTAATGCTGATATCAAATTTATTGCATTAATAAGAAGAGAGAGAAAAGCAACTACACTAACTCTGAATTTCCTGTTTCGTTGACCAAACGTTGAAGGAGAGAATCAGAGGTGCCATACTGGTTGTGTTTCCACTGGTGCTTCAGAATAAGCTGAACAAAACACTCCCTTCTAGAAAGATCATCCAGAAGTTCATTCAGTTGGGGGATGTAACGAACCTCATTTTCCAGGATTATTTGTACAGGAACATTCGGTTCCAAATAATCAAACATCTTGAGTGCTGCTCCAGTGTGACCATCACGAACTACAAGTTGCTGAAGAAAATATTCACACAGTCAATAATAAGTATTATAGTTGGAAGTGAAGCTTCGGTCCCTGTTCTTCGGATAAAATCCTCAATACTTCCCATTCTCAAAGTTCTATATGTAACCAGTGTGAATCAAGCACTTGCTCTTGAAAAGCATCAAATGATGTTATCTTTAATTTTTTAAGGGATAGATGAATGAGCTACCAGGCCTCGATTGATTAAAAGTTCCAGTGGAAGGTTATCACATGATTAAAACACGTTATCAGATATTTGTCCTGTTTCCTGACGAACCTTGCCAAAGTCATATGTGAATACTAACCGCTGATTACCTGACTGTTCCTTCAACAGTATATTTTACTAAATACAGTCAATACCGCACAATTTTTTTTTGCTGATACCTCCTCAAAAACAAGTTGCACAATAAATATCTATTTTTGCCACTGTGGATAGACTGTAGCATAAAAAAAATGTTAAAATATTTTGCTCGTTTAGCAGAGGCCCTAAATTAAATAATAGCCAATAATATTATAATGAGATTGGAATCTACTTACATTTGCTATGTGACTTATACTGAAACATTTGTAGTGAACTTACCAGTTTAATCTCATGAGCAATGAGGGCGGCCATTTTGTCGTCACACTTGGTCTCCACTACCAGGTCCAGCCACTGAGCTTCCTTCAATTTTGCATTTTTTAGTAAATCCACCAGTTCTTCTGCGTACTTTTCTAAGACAGTGGAATATTTATGAGCCAAAAGTCCACTTAGGTGCAAGAACACATTCTGGTAATCAGATAATTTGACTGAATTTAAGTCAATTCCAAGATTTTTCATTGCGTCCTTCAGTGATTTATGTGTTTTTTTCTCTTTCAAAATACTAGCCTGAAATGATTCAAGCATTTCTTGAGATACATTAAGTTTTTGACCCATATCTTGTACTGCTTTTTGTACAGCTTCCTCATCATTGTTTTCAGTTAAATAAAATAAAATTTTATTAGCAGCATAAAATTCCATTATACTCTTGTGTGGAACGAAGAGATCACTCTTGTAGCCATAAGCAGTCCATTCATTTTCCACAGCAAGAAAGGCAGAAAACATGTCATCACAAGGTAACTCCAGCTCCTTGCACTTGTCGCGCAGAATTTTGGTTGACTCAAAGGACAGCTGTATGTGCCCGAGAGAATGGGTTTCTAAGGACACTTGGTATAATGTTTTCAAGAACTCATCACATTTTTCTTCTAGCTTATCTGAAGGAAGCGTAACAACACCGTTATTTTCTTTGAGCCTTGTCAACAAGCGGGATTTAATCAGCTTGTTCAAAGAAATATAGAGATCTGTGGCTGTTGTCAGTGAGTTGACATGTTCTGGATCAGAGGCCCACAAGTATGTCAAGAGAGTCAAGTTTAGTGGTAAACGGAAGTGCTCACTAAGTCGTGTCTCTGACTGCTTCATGAAGTCAACTAATTTTTCTGTACTTTGAATACTTTGTTTATTGTTGATCATTTCTTCGTGAAGTTTTCTGATAAACTCAACTCTGTTTTCCTGTGTGATTCCTTTGAGCCTGGTGTGTACCCTGAGTTGGTTGTGAAGTAAGCTGGGTATTTCAGGAAGCATATTTGGCCTAGTGGTAATCAAGAGGCGAAGCTTACCATTGCTTCTTGGTACATGTTTATCAAATAATTCTTTTAGCAATTTTTTAGAGGCTGTATTTAACTCATCTAATCCATCGAGTATAAGCAAAACCTTGAGATCAAGTACAGATCTTAGTAAATCTTCATCATGTAAGTTATACGATGCTTGCGACATTAGCACTGAGAGCAAAGCTATGAAACTGGATATATTCCGATTCCTAGCCTCAGTATAAAGGACTAGATCATAATTATGGAGCCCGTGAAAGGTGTGTGATATCCCAGAGGTCTTGAGACTCATCCATTTATCAAGAATTAGTTTTGCCAAGGTTGTTTTACCAGCACCAGCCTCTCCTTCCACCAGGGTAATTACTGGCATACTTCCATCTTCTGTTCTTAGTTCCAACAGAGTTTCATAATCTACATCTTCAGAATAACTGGCATTGTTGACTTGGTTTCGCGCTACTTCAAGCCGAGTAAAAACTTTGGAAACCTGCAGTGTATTTCTTCCAGAAATAAATGATGCTGGATCAACCTTAGATAAATTCTTATATTTTGAAAAAAGTTCATTTTTTCCCGTTTCACATACTATATTTTTTTGCTTGCTCCTCAGTTCTTTTAGTTCATTTTGATATCGGTGAATACTGTCAATATCCAAAGATACACTATTCATTATTTTAGCAATGTTGTCACGCATTAGCTGAATGTTATTGTCAACCTCTGACTGGCGACCGTAGTAGTCTCCTCCTAACTTAATAGCGTTCTCTAGATGTTCTTGAAGCTTTTGAAGTATAGTATTCATTTCTCCATCATCAGGAATGCTAGGCGGTGAATGAATAAATTCGTTCCTGAAGTTTTTAATGGATTTGCAAACAGACTCCAATTTTGTATTATCTCCCGCTATCCAGTCGTCTTGTCCTTTGGGAGCAAGATTAATGCAGGTATTTTCAATACAAGCATACAACAAAGCAATATCAAACTCATCCCCTGAAGGATTGCTGTCTATTTTATCTCTCATTGTGGAATCTCTAAACATATTTTTAAAGTCTCTCTTAGTTAGTCCTTTATCTATTAGGTTCTGCTTTAGAGATTTAGTCAAATCCCTATTACACCCCCAGAGAAATATTAAGTAAAGAGTATTGCGTCCCTCAGTGACTAGCACTTTGTACAATTTGAAGTAACGAAGATCAGCCTCTCCAGGACCATCATGAGTAACACGGGATGTAATCATAGTCTCTGTTTACCTCTCGTATATTAAATAATAATACATAATTGGGTAAAACTTTGAGGTTCTTATTTAAGTGTATTTATTACTTCTTGCTACAGGAGTGCAGAGATCCTTGTATCTTGGAAGTATGTGGGATCAGCTCCACAAGTAGGAGTGCAGAGATCCTTGTATCATGGAAGTATGTGGGATCAGCGCCGCAAGTGTCTGATGGAAAAGATAACTTGAAACATGTTTTATCACTGCTGAGATATGAATATATAAGCTTCCCTACCATTCAATATGAGTGTTCATAATACTGGTGACTTACTCTTTGACCAAGAAACTGCAGACACTCTCCACTTCCTCAGGAGTTTTATGACCCCTGCGGGTTTAGGAGAAGAGCTGCTCGGCTGAGTTTGGTAATATTTTACTGTTTAATGTGTGATATTATTAAATATAATTTTGTACTTGTAATCAGAAATTACTGCAGTTTGTGTGTATTGCGTACTTTTATTTTTCAGGTGTTTAGGTCAGGGTAGCACTGGAATGCGCCAGTCACACCCGTGGGGTAAGATAAGATTTGTTCGGATTTTTAACCTGGAGGGTTAGCCACCCAGGATAACCCATGAAAGTCAATCTGTTATGGACTGTCTGTCTTATTTCCACGGTCCTTCAATCTTATCCCCCCAGAATGCCACCCACAACAGTCGACTAACACCCAGGTTACCTACTGACTGCTAGGTGACCAGGGACAGTAGATGTAAGGAAACATGACCAACATTTCCACCCGTGCCGGGGATTGAACCAGGCTCTGATCCACCAGGAGGCCTGGTCACAGACCGGGCCGCGGGGGCGTTGACCCCCGGAACTCTCTCCGGGTAAACGTTGGCTATTTCAGATAATTGTTTTAATGAGTCAAATAAAGTCAGGTGTTTCAGCCATCACAATGTGTAAAATATTAAGTGGGTCTTGCATTAGTCTTATTTTGTGAAAATTGTCCCTAAAAGTTTTATTGTGTTAGAACACAAATAACTGCAGACAAACTTATGGGAAAATGGATACCAATACACTCACTTGCGACACTGGGCCGAGGGGGCGTTAACCCCCGAAACCCTCTCCAGGTATACTCCAGGTATCCAGGTATACACCTTTAATGAGGTGGTACAGTTACCAACAAAATGTACCACCTGTTGAAAACTCATGGCTCAGTGGTAGCTATTTCGGCTCATAACCAAAGGATATGCATTCTGTCCAAGGACGGGTGGAAACATATCGAATATTTCTTTATAACTGTTGTTCACCTAGTAGTAGATAGGTACCCTGGAGTTAGCAGACTCGCGGATGATATCCTGGGGAGGAGCAAAGGATTCCACTAGGATATACCACGTTGATTGACTTTCATGGGTTATCCTGGGATAATTACCCTCTGGGTTAATAATCCAAAGGTCTTCTTCAGACCTCGTTATAAGTTTATCACCAGGAGCTGTGAATCGACCCCTGCAGCCACACATAAGTGAGAACAGGGCTGGACTCTCGCGTCAGATACGTAAGCTACATCTTAAGAATTCACGACATGAGGAGCTCCAACGGATTTTATATTCCGTCCCCTATACTTTAATATTACCCATTTCAACTTAAGATTTTTTTTCGGTTAGTTTAATACCTTTATTATGCATCCCATGTCCAGCCTGTGGGCTGTGAATTCATAGGGCCTCGTAAACTTGACCTATCATAGGGCTTGTGGAAAATACTGTATATATTTTCCAGAAATACAGTAGTTATATGTAAATAGATGGCCATACTTTATTTAAAAGAATTATATTATAGAAAATGGGAAACTGGACCTGCGCCTGCGCAGACAGGACTCTCCATTCTGTTTCAATTGGACACTAACGGTAGTGTATAATGGGAAGAATTTTTCGTGCTCTAGAGGTTAAAATTGGGTTGACACCTCTCAAATAGGAGGCGAAATTGTTGGATGTGCATTCCTGCATAACTTGAGATATCAGGCGACTGGACAAGACAGCTCCAGGAACCTCAGATAAGTCTGTTATGTTTAACTCTGGCCAGTGTTATTTTCATAGATAGACAGTGAGGTTTTCTGAGTATGATACACATTAATCTCCAGTCAAATTGGTGAGTGTTATGTTTAAGATATATTCTCCTTCTGGTGTATAAATGTGTGTGTTATATATATAATAATATATATATATATATATATATATAATATATATATATATATATATATATATATATATATATATATATATATTATAATATATATATAATATATATAAAATATATAAATATATAAATATATAAATATATATATATATATATATATATATATATATATAATATATATATATATATATATATATATATATATATATAATCATTTATTAATTTTTAATATACAGTCCACAAATTTATATATTTACCAGCATTCCTGGTGATGTAATTTCATTTAATTAATAGGTCCAGAGCAACTTGTGGATATGACAGTGGTAGGTATCAAAGGGGGACATTTTTGCGCCCTAGGTGCCCCCAATTCCTACTTGTCAACTTTTAAAAAATAATTATCTTTGTTCATTTTGTTATGTACATAATGAGACATTCAGATAAATCAATTTTCCACATTTAATTTTCCCCTTTGGTCCTTCTTGAACCGAAGGAAAATTAGTGAAGCTTTTAATTAGTTAATTATTAATAATTATATGTGAAATGACAAAAGGAGGTGGATTTTAAAATCACAAATTTATTTAAATTTGGTAGTGGATTTAATTATTAAAATATTAATTTTTGAAAAGTCAAGTCTGGCTAAGTTTATATTAATTTGTTAATATTAATTTGATAAGACAATTTTTGGGCCCAAAGATTTATTCAGTGTATGTGAAATTTGATATATTAAGTATAAAATTTTAATTTTGCTAGACAAATTCTGGCAAGGTTTTATTAATTTGTATAATTTTAATTTTGATAAGCCAATTTTGGCAAAAGGGTTTTGTTTGTATAAATGCTTTGAATTTATTTATTTACTTCTGAATTTGCAAGCCCAAGTGTAGGATTTATTAAAAAGGTAAGTTGTATCGTGTTTTAATAAAGTTGAATTTAATACATTGCATTATGGCAAAAAAGGGGAAAAATTAAATGAAGAAAAACTATGGAATATAGATAAAGAAAGCATCACTACGGGCTAAAAAAGTTCAAAACCCAAAGGTTTTAAAATAAGGTTTGGAAATTTAATGACAAGAAACTGTGAGTACTGATGTTTAAAATTGTTTTAGAGGAAATCCCAGAGGGATAGTACCTAACTTTCCCCGAAAATCACCCTACGAAAGCAGACTTTTGGGAGACGATGAACATCCCCCCAATCAAAAAGCAGGGGGGGTCACTACACGTTTAAAAGGGCCATACAAAAGGTCGGGGCCCAAGACTTTAATGCCTCCCCGCTTACATAAAGGGGGTCACCCCAAAAGACCCCCGGCGTCTTCAACTGGCACTGGACAAACACCTAAAGTCGGGTTTGACCCGCTGGGCTGTGGCTTCTTGGTTTCATGCAGCCAGCAGTAACAGCTGGTTGATCAGGGTTTGATCACCAGGGGGACTGGTCACAGACCGGGCTGCGGGGGGGTTGACCCCCCGGAACTCTCTCAGGGAAATCCAGGGAAAGATATGATTCAACAAAATTTTTTACAACAAAAATGAAGGGATTTATTGTAAACGTGTGATGAGGGCTGATGTAGATTTTATGATTAAAACAGTATTTTGAATTGAGGGAAAAATTCTTGTAAAAGTCAGGGGCCCTTTAATAAATTTAAAAAGTGTAAAAAAGGCAGTTAAACAGTTGCTCCCAAAAAAATAAGAAGTCTTTGCCCGAATCCCAGAATTAGTTTACCTGTATTTTAAAACCCGGAGAAAAATGGGGGGGGGTTTGGTCAATTTTAAAGCAGCTGGATGACGGAGTGACCTTTGCCTCTGTAACTAAAAATTTTTTTACCTCAAAGGAAGGTAAGAGGAGATGTTCACATATCAACAAGGGGCCCTTTCCCAAAGTGTGACTCTTACAAGAAGCAGTTGATTTTGAAGGCATTATGGTAATAAGAGCAAAGTAGGTTGGATCTGTGAAATTAGTGTTAAATTTTAAAATTCCCGATCCCCATTACAAAGGTTTACAGCGTTTTGAGTTAAAAAAGGAGAGCCTCTCAAAAACTTTAAGTAATAATATAACTGAAGGAATCAGATGGTTATGAGTCCATAGTACAGAAAAATTAAGCTGTAAAAATTGAAAGGTTTTCGAACAAATTACCCGGTTATTTTGGTCTGGAGGAAATAAGACTAGGTCTACAAGAATTAATTGTTCAGTTGCAGACTAGCCAACTAACTCATTTTAAAGATGCAACACATAATAACTCTGAGGTATCTGTCAAGTTTCACAAAGGGAAAAATTATCCCAATGGTAATAATTAAAATTCATTTCCTAAAAATAGTTCCATAGGTGCATATCAAGTAGCAAGAATCAGAAATAATGATTCTCCACAAGGTAAGAAGAATAAGTACCCTCCTAAGAGTAGCCCAGTTAATAAGAAACCAATCAAAGAAAAGAGAGATTGTCTTTTCTGCAAGGGTACTCATTTTTCTAAGAATTGCAATGCATACAATTCATGGAACGATAAAGTTGAAAGATTGGAGAAACTTGACAGATGTATCAGGTGTTTAGGTAATCACAATGTAAAGGATTGTCATGCCAAATTAAACAACTGTTATCAATGTCACAAAGGAAGACACCATATAGTCATGTGTAAAGGTCTATATGATAAAGTTGATAATAATGATAATGTTGACAATCCTGACACAACAGTAGCTAATGTAAAAATTGCTGCTAATGTTAATAATGATGGTTTTGCTGAAGTAGCCTTACCTGTGTTACAGGTAAAAGTTGATGATAAAAGGCATAAATCAAAAAATGTAACTGCATTATTAGACCAGGGATCCCAACATACTTTCATAAAACGTAAATGTCTTGATGGTATGAAAGTACAGATTGGAGATCCCACAACTTTAAAATTATCTGGTTTTCTCTCAGATAAAAGAGCTCAATTGTATGACACTGTTTATGTAACTGTCAGGTTGGGCAATGAGAAAAAATGTGTTAATGCAGTAATTGTAGATAGACTTCCAGAGAAAATATCTACAGTAGGGCTTAGTAAAGCTACAGAAAGACTCTCACATAATGTAAATTTAGCACCTTCTGGTGTAAGTGATGATTCTGTAGGCCCAATAAATATTTTGATAGGTAGTGACTATTATGCCTCCTTTGTAAAGGGTATGGTAAAGAAATGTGGTGTCACCCTTTTGAAGACTGCTGGAGGCCATGTAATGTATGGTAGGATTCCTCGTAATAATAATTCATGACTAGAGGAAACTACAAATACCATAACTGTGTGTCTTACCCCAGCATAATTCTTCCATAGAGGATGGTGTTGAGCCAGTGCATAAATTGTGGGAATTAGACAGCATTGGAATAAATGTAAATGAAGAAAGTCCAGACGATTCTTTTGCTCCGGAGCAGTACCTGAAAGATGCAAAATTTGAATCTGGACAATACTGGGTACGACTTCCGTGGAGACTGAACCATCTAGAATTGCTCACTAATTACAGAATGGCATATGGGCAGTTAAAGGCTCAGCTCCACGAACTGAGTAAGACATCAGAATTGTTAACTGCCTATAATGATATAATTGCTGAGCAGTTAATTAATTAATTTATAGAAGAGGTACCTCCTGAGCAAGCCAAAATTTATGGTCACTATTTGCCACATCACGGAGTGAAGAAGGATTCTAAGACCACTCCTCTGAGAATTGTGTTTAATTGTAGTGCCAGGAGTAACAAAAATGTACCTAGTTTAAATGACTGTTTGATGACAGGTCCGTCGTTAACGGAAAAATTAGGAGATATCTTATTAAATTTCAGGATGAAAAATTATACCTTTACGGCTGACATAAGTAAAGCTTTCCTAAGAGTGGGTTTACAAGAGGCTGACCAGGATTGTACCCGCTTCTTATGGCCTGAGAATCCTAATGACCCACTTAGCCCTCTGAAAGCCTTTCGCTTCAGGAGCGTATTATTTGGTGCTACATCCAGTCAAGCGACGATAAATGCACACCTTAAACGTATGGAAAGTCCATTGAGTAAAGTAATGAGCAAACAAATTTATGTGGGCAATTTCCTGGGTGTGACGTCAACTGAAGAGGAACTGTTAATGACTTATGGAGAGGCTAATAAAATAATGCAAAGTGCAAATATGCCTCTGAGGGAATGGAAAAGTAATTTGTTCAAATTAAAGGATAAAATAAGTAAAGATTACCCTGATAATGAGGTATCCTTACAATGGATTCATAATGGAAACAGTAAAATTGTGTACGTACAAAACAGAGTCGCTGAAATTAATCAGATGCAAGAGAAGTATAATAGTTTGGGTCAGCATATGTTAACATTTAATCATATACCTGGTGAGGAGAATCCAGCTGATTTCTTGTCTCGAGGTTTACCTTATGCTAAATTTGTAAATGCTGTATCACATGGTTTAAAGGACCAAGTTGGTTGGTAAATAAAGCTAATTGGCCTGTACAAAAGGCGTATATTGCTCCTGTTGAAATTACTGTGACCACCGCTCTAATAGTTTGTCCTCCCTTAGCCATTGATATAAATAGGTATTCTTCTTTACCCAAACTAATCAATGTAACTATATCATATAAGTTTTCACATCCTCTTGAATATTGGATAAAGAGGGTACAGGAGGAAATCTATGGAAATGAGATTAAATTGATGATGGAAAGAAAAATTGTGAAAGGTTCTATAATAGAGAAATTGGGGCTGTATTTAGGGAACAATGCAATTAGGTGCAGAGGTAGGTTACAAAATGCTGAATTGGATGATTATGCTAAACACCCTATCTTACTGCCCAAAACTCATCATCTAACAAATTTAATTGTTCTAAATGCCCATAAAAATGTAATGCATGGTGGGGTACAAGATACCTTAAATTGTATTAGGGAAACTTTCTGGATTCCACAAGGACGGCAAAGTGTAAAAAGGGTGATTAAATCTTGTGTAATATGTCGCCGTGTGGATGCCAGATCCTATATGTACCCAGGTCCTCCACCATTGCCAAAGTAGCATGTACAATTAGTGAAACCATTTGATGTAACAGGTGTAGACTATAGTGGTCCAATAATTTTAACAGGTACTTCAGATGGTGTTCCACTGAAAGTGTATGTTTGTTTGTTCACCTGTACTGCTACTAGGGCAGTTTATTTAGAAGTGGCACAGGACTTGTCTGCAGAACAGTGCAGCTAGGAGATCCTGTCCGAGATTGATGATGTCGGATAATGCCACAAATTTTGTAGCAGGTGCTCAACATTTGATAGAATTAAATAATAGTAACGATGTTCAATCTCTGCTAACCCATCGAGGGTGTACCTGGAAATTTATTACTCATAGAGCCCCTTGGCAGGGGGGGCTGTACGAAAGACTGATAGGCACAGTGAAGAGGTGTCTCCGTAAAGTACTACACCGGAAGAGAATTAATTTGGAAGAATTCTGTGCAGTGTTAGTGGAGGCGGAGAATTGTATAAATAATAGGCCTCTCTCGTACATGAGTGATACACCTGATGCAGATGTATTAACACCTTCTCACCTAATATGTGGAAGGAAATTGGAAGCTGCCCCTGTCTATAGAGATAATCCGGAAGAAAGTGATGAAGATTACAATGATGCGGCAGTGTTGTGTAATAAATTTAAAATTTTAAATAAAGTAATTGATCATTGGTCTAATGTGTGGCGTAAGGAATATCTTCTTACACTACGTGAACACTTTTATGGTGCGACAGAAGCAGTAAATCGACAGACCATTCGACCAGGTGACATTGCATTAATTGACACTAAACAACATCAAACATTGTGGCCTCTGGGCAAAGTATTGACATTGTACCCAGATGCACAAGGTGTTGTCAGGAATGTCAAAGTGTTGTGTCATGGCCAGGAAAGTTTACGCACAATTAATAAATTGATTCCCTTGGAATTAGGTGTTCAATCAAATGTAAATGAAAATCTGAGGGAAAGTGACACAAGTGATATGGAAGATAACGCAGACCAAGTGATGTCGGAAGATGAAATCGTAGTAAGACCTACTAGGAGAACAGCCACTCAAGCCAGAACCGACTGGAATCGTCTCCTAAAGGAAGGAGTAGTTTGAGTCATTTAGCAACGAACTCCGGCCGGCCGCAATGTGGAAAATACTGTATATATTTTCCAGAAATACAGTAGTTATGTGTAAATAGATGGCCATACTGTATTTAAAAGAATTATATAATGGAAAATGGGAAACTGGACCTGCGCCTGCACAGACAGGACTCGCCATTTTGTTTGAATTGGACACTAGCGGTAGTGTATAATGGAAAGAATTTTTCGTGCTCTAGAGGTTGAAATTGCGTTGACACCTCTCAAATAGGAGGTGAAATTGTTGGATGTGCATCCCTGCATAACTTGAGATATCAGGCGACTGGACAAGACAGCTCCAGGAACCTCAGATAAGTCTGTTATGTTTAAATCTGGCCAGTGTTATTTTCATAGATAGACAGTGAGGTTTTCTGAGTATGATACACATTAATCTCCAGTCAAATTAGTGAGTGTTATGATTAAGATATATTCTCCTTCTGTTGTAGAAATGTGTATATATATATATAAAAAATCATTTATTATTTTTAATATACAGTCCACAAATTTATATATTTACCAGAATTACTGGCGATGTATCTTTTATTTATAATTAATAGGTCCAGAGCAACTTGTGGATATGACAGTGGTAGGTATCGAAGGGGGACATTTTTTGCGACCTAGGTGTCTCAAATTCCTACTTGTCTAACTGATAAATAATAATCTTTGTTCATTTACTGTTATGTACATAATGATACATTCAGATAAATGCAATTTTCCACAGGGCTTCAGATGGTCCAGTCTGACCCTGGGCGCGTAGTTCATGTATTATAGGTTTGAAACAACAACACAACACCATGAGTTAGGCAACAATTAGTCTCTATTCAGATAAACAAAGAAAATGTAGCTGTTGAGGTGAGCTATAATACGTTGTCAAGGTCATGCAAGCTTCTACACATATGCCAAATCACAACTTTTTCTAGCGACCAATGGTGTCCATGATGACACGAACTTAACAACAGACACGAGCTTGAGACCTGAGATTATAAATACGGTATACATTTTATGGCGTGATGTTATATTTTTACATAGCTGACTGGTTTATGTGCAACTGTCGTCAGTCTCGGTCTTATTATGAGTGAGAGACAAATACGGTCCAGTGACTCATAGTTTGATTAAAAGATCAGAACCAGGAATCTTTCTTTTTCCTACTGAATAAAATACTTTTGTTACCCCATCCATCATCCATATTATTTGTGCCTTAAACGTAAGAGTCCCATTAAGGTAGCTAGCTCATCTACACTCATGATCCAGCATAAAATATATTGTCACAGCCACATTAATAACTACTAAAGTCATCTAGAAAACCTGTAAGCAAGATATTAGCAAAGACAAAGAGAGCCCATAAATAAACGTTAGTTCATATATTCACTAGCCAAAATAACATTTACAATACTTACATGGAGTGTTGTTCACAGGATGTGCCAGACTAACCACACACACCACACTTAATATAAACCAGTATATTGGCTTCCTCTCGTTTTCATAGGAGTGTTAAGCATGTATGATAATGTTCTGACATGAACTGTGACTACACTGGCGCTTGTAAAGGCTGGCTGGTGGTGGAGAGTGCTACTGAGCCAGTGGAAAAACCGTGCACTGGTGAACCTACCGGACATGCCACCGCTGCAGCTGTGCACGATAATGTATATTATTGTGTACCCAGGGTGAAAGTTAACAATTAGTTATCCATCGAAAAATACTTGTAGTGGACGTCTTATCAATATGTCATTTTTGCATATCATTTATAATACTAAAAACAAAAGTGTAAGGGACCCAATGTAATTCAACAGCTTCCTTCAATATGTATAGGAGTGAAAAGTGCCTGTCATACTCCATCACGCTAGATGGTGTCGCTATCATACTCCATCACACAAGATGGTGCCTGTCATACTCCATCACACTAGATGGTGTCGCTATTATACTCCATCACACTAGATGGTGTCGCTATCATACTCCATCACACTAGATGGTGTCGCTATTATACTCCATCACACTAGATGGTGTCTGTCATACTCCGTCACACTAGATGGTGTCGCTATTATACTCCATCACACTAGATGGTGTCTGTCATACTCCATCACACTAGATGGTGTCGCTATCATACTCCATCACACTAGATGGTGCCTGTCATACTCCATCACACTAGATGGTGTCGCTATTATACTCCATCACACTAGATGGTGTCTGTCATACTCCATCACACTAGATGGTGTCGCTATCATACTCCATCACACTAGATGGTGTCTGTCATACTCCATCACACTAGATGGTGTTGCTATCATACTCCATCACACTAGATGGTGTCGCTATCATACTCCATCACACTAGATGGTGCCGCTATCATACTCCATCACACTAGATGGTGTCTGTCATACTCCATCACACTAGATGGTGTCGCTATCATACTCCATCACACTAGAGGGTGTCTGTCATACTCCGTCACACTAGATGGTGTCACTATTATACTCCATCACACTAGATGGTGTCTGTCATACTCCATCACACTAGATGGTGTCGCTATCATACTCCATCACACTAGATGGTGCCTGTCATACTCCATCACACTAGATGGTGTCGCTGTTATACTCCATCACACTAGATGGTGTCTGTCATACTCCATCACACTAGATGGTGTCGCTATCATACTCCATCACACTAGATGGTGTCTGTCATACTCCATCACACTAGATGGTGTTGCTATCATACTCCATCACACTAGATGGTGTCGCTATCATACTCCATCACACTAGCTGGTGCCGCTATCATACTCCATCACACTAGATGGTGTCTGTCATACTCCATCACACTAGATGGTGTCGCTATCATACTCCATCACACTAGAGGGTGTCTGTCATACTCCGTCACACTAGATGGTGTCGCTATTATACTCCATCACACTAGATGGTGTCTGTCATACTCCATCACACTAGATGGTGTCGCTATCATACTCCATCACACTAGATGGTGCCTGTCATACTCCATCACACTAGATGGTGTCGCTGTTATACTCCATCACACTAGATGGTGTCGCTATCATACTCCATCACACTAGATGGTGTCTGTCATACTCCATCACACTAGATGGTGTTGCTATCATACTCCATCACACTAGATGGTTTCGCTATCATACTCCATCACACTAGATGGTGTCGCTATCATATTCCATCACACTAGATGGTGTCTGTCATACTCCATCACACTAGATGGTGTCGCTATCATACTCCATCACACTAGAGGGTGTCTGTCATACTCCGTCACACTAGATGGTGTCGCTATCGTACTCCATCACACTAGACGGTGTCGCTATTATACTCCATGACACTAGATGGTGTCTGTCATACTCCATCACACTAGATGGTGTCGCTATCATACTCCATCACACTAGATGGTGTCTGTCATACTCCATCACACTAGATGGTGTCGCTATCATACTCCATCACACTAGATGGTGTCGCTATCATACTCCATCACACTAGATGGTGTCGCTATCATACTCCATCACACTAGATGGTGTCGCTATCATACTCCATCACACTAGATGGTGTCGTTATCACACTCCATCACACTAGATGGTGTCTGTCATACTCCACCACACTAGATGGTGTCGCTATCATACTTCATCACACTAGATGGTGTCGCTATCATACTCCATCACACTAGATGGTGTCGCTATTATACTCCATCACACTAGATGGTGTCTGTCATACTCCATCACACTAGATGGTGTCGCTATCATACTTCATCACACTAGATGGTGTCTGTTATACTCCGTCACACTAGATGGTGTCGCTATCATACTCCATCACACTAGATGGTGTCTGTAATACTCCATCACACTAGATGGTGTCTGTAATACTCCATCACACTAGATGGTGTCGCTATCATACTCCATCACACTAGATGGTGTCGCTATCATACTCCATCACACTAGATGGTGTCACTATTATACTCCATCACACTAGATGGTGTCGCTATCATACTCCATCACACTAGATGGTGTCACTATTATACTCCATCACACTAGATGGTGTCGCTATCATACTCCATCACACTAGATGGTGTCTGTCATACTCCATCACACTAGATGGTGTCGCTATCATACTCCATCACACAAGATGGTGTCTGTCATACTCCGTCACACTAGATGGTGTCGCTATTATACTCCATCACACTAGATGGTGTCTGTCATACTCCATCACACTAGATGGTGTCGCTATCATACTCCATCACACTAGATGGTGCCTGTCATACTCCATCACACTAGATGGTGTCGCTATTATACTCCATCACACTAGATGGTGTCTGTCATACTCCATCACACTAGATGGTGTCACTATCATACTCCATCACGCTAGATGGTGTCTGTCATACTCCATCACACTAGATGGTGTTGCTATCATACTCCATCACACTAGATGGTGTCACTATCATACTCCATCACACTAGATGGTGTCGCTATCATACTCCATCACACTAGATGGTGTCTGTCATACTCCATCACACTAGATGGTGTCACTATCATACTCCATCACACTAGAGGGTGTCTGTCATACTCCATCACACTAGATGGTGTCGCTAACATACTCCATCACACTAGATGGTGTCGCTATTATACTCCATGACACTAGATGGTGTATGTCATACTCCATCACACTAGATGGTGTCGCTATCATACTCCATCACACTAGATGGTGTCTGTCATACTCCATCACACTAGATGGTGTCGCTATCATACTCCATCACACTAGATGGTGTCGCTATCATACTCCATCACACTAGATGGTGTCGCTATCATACTCCATCACACTAGATGGTGTCGCTATCATACTCCATCACACTAGATGGTGTCTGTCATACTCCGTCACACTAGATGGTGTCGCTATCATACTCCATCACACTAGATGGTGTCGCTATCATACTCCATCACACTAGATGGTGTCGCTATCATACTCCATCACACTAGATGGTGTCTGTCATACTCCATCACACTAGATGGTGTCGCTATCATACTCCATCACACTAGATGGTGTCGCTATCATACTCCATCACACTAGATGGTGTCGCTATCATACTCCATCACACTAGATGGTGCCTGTCATACTCCATCACACTAGATGGTGTCGCTATCATACTCCATCACACTAGATGGTGTCTGTCATACTCCATCACACTAGATGGTGTCGCTATCATACTCCATCACACTAGATGGTGTCTGTTATACTCTGTCACACTAGATGGTGTCGCTATCATACTCAATCACACTAGAGGGTGTCTGTAATATCCCATCACAATAGATGGTGTCTGTAATACTCCATCACACTAGATGGTGCCGCTATCATACTCCATCACACTAGATGGTGTCGCTATCATACTCCATCACACTAGATGGTGTCACTATCATACTCCATCACACTAGATGGTGTCACTATTATACTCCATCACACTAGAAGGTGTCGCTATCATACTCCATCACACTAGATGGTGTTGCTATCATACTCCATCACACTAGATGGTGTTGTTGAAGATATTGGCCTTACCAGCTATGTGTAATATATATATATATATATAAATATAGGAAACACTTAGCTGATAAATGACAGCAAATCGTCTACACAGCCGCCCCTGCAGACGAGGTCTAGAAGCTGTCGAAACCATCTCAACATGGGCTGTCAAAAAAATATAATTTGTAAGTTATAAATTACCCTTAGGGGGTGTTATGTCAGCATATTTCATACACTGGTGGCTGACGATGTACGTACTTGTTTGGACTCAAAAGTCCACACCTTACTGCCGACTATAGGTTGATTACAAACTCCTTGCAACTCAAGAACTGCGCAGTCCCCCGATCTACAAGAAATTCGTAACATACCTTGCTCTTGTAGCGTGAGCTATGGTGTTCTCAACACCTTCGACAGGTATCGGTGACTTGATAGAAGCTGAAGTGTCCTTGGATGTCCACGTCTTCCATTGTCTAGGAAACGCACACTGGTACACTATGTTCCACAAGATTTGTCTTTATTGTTCACAATGTATCACAAGAGAAGCTGATCACACTTCTCTTATGTTTATTGTGTTTGAGACACTTTGTTCACACTAACGCACAGATCAGTGTTCTTTGCTAGTTATCCTGGCGTCAGTGTCACTCTCCCTAGAGTCAAAGATAGTCTGCAAGACGCCACAGCCCTCCATGCCGTCACTGCCCCTGATACACACAAAAAAAAAAAACGCTGACCTAGTACCTTGCATCCTTGTCACCTCCTCGATGAAGCAAAGCAGAATGTTTGTTTCTTGCTGTCTTAAGCATAGACAACAATGTACACTATCTTTACTATGGTAATAAAGTGGGAGCAGGATTTTCCTTAATTGTCCTGCTAAGTAAGAGATGTACTGTCTCTTATAAAAATACACTTTGCAACACCGCTGCAAGGAGCAGAGGTCACTTGACTACGTCGCATAGCATCTGTGATCAATTACTCACTGTAGCAGTAAACAAGATGCTTGCCCCTTCTGAGAGGGTTTGGCCCCTCAGGGCTGAAAGGGGCTGAAGGGGCTGAAAGGGCTGAAGGGGGCTGATACCCCCCTCCTGGAGGAAATTTTTCCACAGGTGTCGCTATCATACTCCATCACACTAGATGGTGTCACTATTATACTCCATCACACTAGATGGTGTCGCTATCATACTCCATCACACTAGATGGTGTCACTATTATACTCCATCACACTAGATGGTGCCGCTATCATACTCCATCACACTAGATGGTGTCTGTCATACTCCATCACACTAGATGGTGTCGCTATCATACTCCATCACATTAGGTGGTGTCTCCCTGACACTAGAGTGTCTCCATCATACTAGATTGTCTCCGTCATACTTCATCACACTAGATTGTGTCCTTCATACTGCTGGAGACCAGATGGTGTCCCTCACATACGTCTCCATCATACTAGATAGTGTCTCTATCATACTAGATAGTGTCTTCATCATACTCTAACATTACCCAGATTAAGTATTCACTGAATGTATTATTACAAAGCAGCATTATAGATTCTTATTTCATTATTATATTGAACCTATTTTTCTTCCTGTCTCTGGCTACATTTATAGATACTGTTTAGATACACTGAGGTCCGGGGTTCGATCCCCGGTACGGCTTGAATACATTAGGACATGTTTCCACAAGTCACCTGCTGTTCATGTTCACCCTTCAGTAAAACAGGTACCTGGGTGTTAGTGGACTGGTGTGGGTCGCATCCTGAGGACAAAATTGGCCTAATTTACTCGAAATGTCCTGCATAACAAGGGGCTCTCTATATATTAGTGTGTCATTGATGTCAGCTAGGCCTGTATACCTTGTACATGTACTTATTAAGTAAGTAAGTTTATTCGGGTATACACAAATACAGTTGCAGAGATTATCATACATAGCAGCACATGTGTAAGGAACCTAGGATAACCCAGAAGTCAGGCAAAGTGACTTATTTCTATTGGGGGAGATAAAGATTATTATTATTATTATTATTATTATTATTATTATTATTATTTAATACAGTCGTCAGTGTGTGGGAAATACATCGAATGTTTACCATTTTATTGTATAAACGTGCACTAAAATTTAAAGAACAAAATTTTTCCAGTGCAGGAACAAAGTATACTGCTGATGGCAACCCACTAGAGGGCGCCTCGATGCTGGTGAAGTTCTCTTAATCCAGGGAACAGGAGCTACCCTTGTCTCTGAAGGAACCTTACATTCTTCAGGTGCTCTACAACTCTTAATGGGGTTCAGTGCTTCTCCATAATAATACTATGACTGGTAAGCCTTCTTTCTACTGCTTAATAATAAGCCACTATCTGAAACTAGACGCCGTGTTAATTTGATCTTTCAACAGTATAATTCGGGTCTTGTTCAAATGATGACTTGTTCAATGAGTCCTTAAGAGTTTTTTTTTCTTTGAAAATATAAGTGTTATAGTGTTTGATCAGTAGTAGCCTTGATATCGCAAGATTTGTCATAGCCTTGATATTATAAGATTAATCATAGCCTTCATATCACAAGATCACTCGATACAATGTGTGGCCTTGATATTTATTATTATAATCAAGGAGGAAGCGCTAAACCCGTAGGATTATACAGCTGGCATTGATATCACAATATCAAAGTTTGTGGCCCTTGATATCACAATGTCAAAGTTGTGGCCTCGACATCACAAGATCATTTAAGACAACTAAACAGTAATGAGAAGATACGTTACACAAGCTTTCACATACACAATGAGGAAAGTTCACTTAAATCCTTATTTTAATAATCAAAATACTTGTGACTGGATACACGTAACCTTAATGACCCTTGGAGTAGTCAACAGGCCTTTATTCAAGCCCATTAACCTTTCAGCCTTTTATTGAGACAACGTTTCACTTTGCGTAGAGCTTTACCAATTCATCTTTACAACACACATGTACAACTTGTCAGACACTGCAACATCATGGACTCCTGGTTCAGAAGACATTTCCACAACTTTCTTAACTACTACTGGCCCGTCCCTTAGGTATGACCTACTTCCAATGGGAAATCCCGCCTACCAGTGACAATGTCTGTCCGCTACACGTCCCTCGTCTGATGCCAGTACATAAGCGGAAATATTCATGCCTGGGTTTCAAACTATTCAAAACTATAGTACTCTTCTCCAACTCTACGGCTGAGGGACTGATTACCTCATCTTTTGTATATAGTTCTACTGTCTTCTGTGTTCTTGAATTTGTATCGATAAAGCCACTGGATGGCGAAACGTCTATAATAAAGATACTCAGATGCTACACACAAAGAAGTCGATACAGCGAAACAATGTTCCTATGAAGACTTGTTCTGCAACCTGTTTCTTCTGTTGTCGCTAGTACGATATTTGGATCCAGTAGTAGAAACGCCAAGTTCCTGATGATACTCTGCAGTGGCCCTTACTCTTCACCACATACTTGACTCGCCACTACTGTAATAAGAGGTGCATAAAGTTAGACAAATTCTCAGGACCCCAATGGAAATAAGTCACTCTGTCTGACATTTTTGGGTTATCCCAGGTTCTCTACACATATGCTGCTATGTATGATAATCTGTGTAACTGTATTTGTGTATACCTGAATAAACTTACTTACTTACTATGGCATAGACTGCTTCTGGTGTACAATACATATACACTTATGCAAAACAACCATTGTGAAAGAATAGTGAAATTCCAAGCGCTTTCGTGACTTCTCACATTATCAAGGAACTATTCTTTCACGGTGGTTGTTTTGCATATTTTGATATCACCTGTTTACTGTGATCTTATTGGATATATACACTTATATGTAAACAGGCAAGAGCTGAGCACCACATACTGCAACTGAGTAACACATACTCTACATACTGCAAGAGTGAAGATTTTAAAGCATGATCAATAATAACCCACAGGGAGACAGAAACTGAGGAGGTTAATAGGTCTGTATATTTCGACCCTCTTCTGGGTTATTACTGAGCAATGACATGTGTTCATTATATTTTTGTTATTTTCATTTTAAATTGTGATTAAACAAGAATGGACGGGGCGTCGAACCATGGTCCTTATTAGTTTAATATATGTATTATGTAACCCATACCCATCCTGTAGGCGATAGTCAAAAAGATTACAGGGGGTCCAGGGACTGGGCCGCAAAGTTTTGATAGCTGAACAATTTACAAAGGTAATGAACCATTCACACGTCTATACTTTGCATTTATTTTAAAACATGATAACTCTTTCCTACTAACCAGTAAAATTCACAGTGAAGCTCCCTCTTAGCCAGCTGTTTAAGTTGCTCCAGTTTGTTCTTGTCAGTGTCAGGCGAGGAGAGGCGTATTCCACCCTTGTTCTTCACCTTCACCCCCTGCTGTGCTAGGCTTCTCACCAGATACTTACACTTGTCAAAACTGATTCTGCTTCGTGGAAACATAATACTTTTGTACTTCCTGTGGAACAAGTCATGGTAGCTGTAGTAAACTTTTCAATTAAGAACTGTTATTTGTGATACTGTGATATATATATATATATATATATATATATATATATATATATATATATATATATATATATATATATATATATATAGCGAGAGAGAAATAGATTGATAGATAGATAGATAGATAGAGAGAGAGAGAGAGAGAGAGAGAGAGAGAGAGAGAGAGAGAGAGAGAGAGAGAAGAGAGAGAGAGAGAGAGAGAGAGAGAGAGAAGAGAGAGAGAGAGATAGGTGTTCATCAAATACCACACTTAGGAGAGGGAACGTTATGATGATGTTACGAACCGTCCTAGACCATTGTTTAAGTCACAATTGGAGTGAGAAAAGTAAAGAGAGCTGGAAGACAGTATGGTAGGAATCGGGGAAGGGAATAATGGTAGTAATAGTGGTGGTGGTGGTGGTGGCTGTGGTGGTGGTGGCTGTGGTGGTGGTGGCTGTGGTGGTGGTGGCTGTGGTGGTGGTGGCTGTGGTGGTGGTGGCTGTGGTGGTGGTGGCTGTGGTGGTGGTGGCTGTGGTGGTGGTGGCTGTGGTGGTGGTGGCTGTGGTGGTGGTGGCTGTGTGGTGGTGGCGGTGGTGGTGGTGGCTGTGGTGGTGGTGGCTGTGGTGGTGGTGGCGGTGGTGGTGGTGGCTGTGGTGGTGGTGGCTGTGGTGGTGGTGGCGGTGGTGGTGGTGGCGGTGGTGGTGGTGGCGGTGGTGGTGTGGCGGTGGTGGTGGTGGCGGTGGTGGTGGTGGCTGTGGTGGTGGTGGCTGTGGTGGTGGTGGCGGTGGTGATGGTTGTAGTAGTAATAGAAGGCTGTGATGTGATTTCAGACATGGCAGAAAAAAGTACTGTTAGAGTCGAAAAGGCAAGCATATCTTTTGTGCTCTCTAAGTCTGTCAGAAAGGGAGCAGCCGGTTTCACCTAAGTACTGGAGAGAACAGCAGGATGATGAGGATGATAACTAGTCTGATATCTAAAGGAGAGAGAGGATGTTAGTAAGGTTTTTGTAGATTAGAACTGCAGAAAGGCAAAGAACAGATGTCATGGAAGAAATGATTCTGGGATAGAAGAAAGCAGGCAGTTTATATACTAACAGCCAGCACACAGCAGAAAAACTCATGACGACTGTGTTACTAGTTAATAGTCCAAGTCGGACTGAAACGTCGTCATAACTTTCAGTCTCCTATGTGCAAGTTATACATGTATTGTTCCAGTCGCGGTATTGTCTTTTTTATATTCTTTCATGCAGAGTTCATGATATCGAGGGCATAGGCAAGGTGGGAAAAGGAGCTGCGAAAAACGCAAATTTCAAGAGTCGAGAAATAGTCAGAGATGCGAAGGGCCCAGAGGAAGAGAGACACAAAAGCACAGTTCTTGACAGAAGAATGGCAGGAAAAGTGAATGCACATCACACCGGAACACACCACTGCCACCCCGTTATTGAAAACAACGCACCACCACCACACATTAGCGTTCTAGGATTACTTGTAAATTTAAATTACTTACGCTTGTGGTGTCAGGAGTGCACGGATCACGCCACAAGCCTTGTCCACCTGGTCATCCCTCACGTCAGACAACCACAGTGTGCAACACTCCAATTTTTTGTCATTCACTATTGGCAGGGCTTTTAAACCATCGGAAGACACTCCTTCCATCACGTGCACACCTGAAGTAATTTACACACACACGGTATAACTAGATTTTTTAAGTCAGATTATGTAGAGCCTAGCCAGTTGGCATTACCTAGCTTAACCAGCTGGTGATGCATAGCCTAGCCAGTGGGCGATGCCTAACCTAACCAGGTGGCGATGCCTAGCCTAACCAGATGGTAATGCATAGCCTAGCTAGCAGGCAAAACTTAGCCTAACCAGCTGGCGATGCACAGCCTAACCAGCTGGCGATGCATAGCCTAACCAGCTGGCGATGCCTAGCCTAACCAGCTGGCGATGCATAGCCTAGCCTTCTATAAGTGCCGATTTGGGTGTCTATACATAATCAAGTAAATAAATTTGTAAATATTCCACTACCACTGAGCAATAAATTTGTTATAAATAAAACAAGAAAATATCTAAGACGGTTTTCAAGAATGAATTCAAGTAGGAAAAAAATTATATGTAGGAAGGCCACAGTAAAGAGCAGGTTTTGGCAATCGAGTCGTAGAGGAGCAGCAAAATTAATTTTTTATGAGAGAGCCACAGAATTTGGTTAACACAAGCCTATCCGATGTTATCCTGACGCCAAATGACTTCGAACACGCGATAAATGACCTGCCATGCACTCTGCCCCCCGGGCCCGACTCAGGAAATCCGGTTTTACAAAACTGCAAGAACCCCTATCACGAGCCTTTTCCTTCTATGGAGGGAAGAGCATGGGCAGGGGGGGTTCCCAGTTACTAAAAACAACGACAAGCCCCACTCCAAAAAGGGGGGGTAAAGCACAGCAAAGAACTACAACCGATAGCACAAATCCCATATCGTAAAAAACTTTGAAAAGGGCCCCAAAAGCAAAATCACCACCCATCGAAACCCTCAGTTTCACAACCCAGGAAAAAGGGTTTAAACGTCCCTCCTGTCTGTTCAACTATTGGATCACTACGCAAAGGGCCTAATGCACTGAAACAAAAAAAAGGGGAATTATACAACTTGCAAAAACCTTGAAAGTGTACCCTGGCTAAAGCGCACAAAATCTGCTAAAGGGGTACAGGAAAAGTCTGTCGATGGATCTAAATTTTCCTCACAACAAACACGAGATAGTCGGGCAACAAGAAATCCAGGCAGCTAAGGGGAAAACTCGTTTCCACAACACGTACCGCTCCCATCTTTTCCCAACCTCATATCCACATAGACAAGGATGCAGCCACACACCGGTTTCCTTTGAGATGACACCCGAACTGCATGACATGTTTCCCTGACACTGCAAGGCTCCAGGCGGACATCAACCAAATCTTTCGTGGGCGCAAAAAAAATTAATTCCGATAGAAAAATTTTAATACTCAGATTGGTAAAAAACAGGAATTTAAAACTTTTATCAGATAACAAAAAAAATTTGGCCACAAAATAGAGCGAAAACCAACGCAAAGACCGGGGGGGGGATATGTCGGAGGGCTCACCTTTCAAACCAAAAAATTTATCAATCGCATCTGCTAGAAAAATACAGGATGGATAACGAGAACCTCAAAACTAGGGAGGCCAAGCCCATGATGACACTCTTCAGGTCACTTGTTCTATCTAGGCTGGAATATGCTGCACACTAACAACACCTTTCAAGGCAGGTGAAATTGCTGACCTAGAAAATGTACAGAGAACCTCACGGCACGCATAAACGGAGATAAAACACCTCAATTACTGGGAGCGCTTGAGGTTCCTAAACCTGTATTCCCTGGAACGCAGGCGGGAGAGATACATGATTATATACACCTGGAAAATCCTAGAGGGACTAGTACCGAACTTGCACACGAAAATCACTCAATACGAAAGCAAAAGACTTGGCAGACGATGCAACATCCCCCCAATGAAAAGCAGGGGTGTCACTAGCATGTTAAGAGACAGTACAATAAGTGTCAGGGGCCCGAGACTGTTCAACTGCCTCCCAGCATACATAAGGGGGATTACCAACAGACCCCTGGCAGTCTTCAAGCTGGCACTGGACAAGCACCTAAAGTCGGTTCCTGACCAGACGGGCTGTGGCTTGTACGTTGGTTTGCGTGCAGCCAGCAGTAACAGCCTGGTTGATCAGGCTCTGATCCACCAGGAGGCCTGGTCACAGACCGGGCCGCGGGGGCGTTGACCCCCGGAACTCTCTCCAGGTAAACTGACTAGAGAAGCCTCGTTCAAGAGAATCTTGGTTGATTTTTTTTTTGTTCCAAATCAACAACTACAGTACACAGTTAACTGATTAAATCTATAGATTAATGAAAGTGACTTTGTATTGTATTCGTACATTGAATAAGCACGTAATAATAATAATTTAAAAAAATATATAGGTTAGCAAAGTACTTAATGTACTCGTTGGCAGTGTCCATAATACTCACCCAGATAATCAAGTTTTTGCTTCTTGACCAAGTCATTTAGCCCATTGCAAATAACCTCAGCATGTTCATTGTTAATTAGAGTGAGGCGTAGGAAAGTTATGGTCTCGGGAATCACTGCCAGACTCTGCAAATTTCCTGTGAAGTGTGACACTGTGCATCTGAAATTACAGTACTTTACACCTTTTTGGAAATTAAAATTAGTGAATATTTTTTTAATGGTAACATACACGAAATAGCATTATTAACAAGAGTAAAGGCAATTATTCTAACCCTGAATTTCCTGTTGCGTTGGTCAGGCACTGAAGGATGCTATCAGAGGTACCATATTGACTGTGCTTAAACTGGTGCTTGACAAAAAGCTGAACACAGCACTTTCTTCCAGAAAGATTTTCCAGAAGTTCATGCAGTTGGGGGATGTAACGAACCTCATTTTCCAGGATTATTTGTACAGGAACATTAGGTTCCAAATAATCAAACATCTTGAGTGCTGCTCCAGTGTGACCATCACGAACTACAAGCTCTGAAGAAAAAATTTATATATATATTAAAATTATATATAGTATATATATATATAATATATATATATAATATATATTTTTTTTATTATCACACTGGCCGATTCCCACCAAGGAAGGGTGGCCCAAAAAGGAAAAACTTTCCCCCATCATTCACTCCATCACTGTCTTGCCAGAAGGTGCTTTACACACAGTTTTTAAACTGCAACATTAACACCCCTCCTTCGGGTGCAGGCACTGTACTTCCCATCTCCAGGACCCCAAGTCCGGGCCTGCCGGTTTCCCTAATCCCTTCATAAATGTTACTTTGCTCACACTCCAACAGCACGTCAAGTATTAAAAACCATTTTCTCCATTCACTCCTATCAAACACGCTCACGCATGCCTACGGGAAGTCCAAGCCCCTCGCAACACAAAACCTCCTTTACCCCCTCCCTCCAACCTTTCCTAGGCCGACCCCTACCCCGCCTTCCTTCCACTACAGACTGATACACTCTGAAGTCATTCTGTTTCGCTCCAATCTCTCTACAGCCGAACCACCTCAACAACCCTTCCTCAGCCCTCTGGACAACTTTTTTTTGGTAATCCCGCACCTCCTCCTAACTTCCAAACTACGAATCTCTGCATTAAATTCACACCACACATTGCCCTCAGACATGACATCTCCACTGCCTCCAGCCTTCTCCTCGCTGCACATTCATCACCCACGCTTCAAAACCATATAAGAGCGTTGGTAAAACTATACTCTCATACATTCCCCTCTTTTGCCTCCAAGACAAAGTTTCTTTGTCTCCACAACTCCTAAGTGCACCACTCACCTTTTTCCCTCATCAATTCTATGATTCACCTCATCTTTCATAGACCCATCCGCTGACACGTCCACTCCCAAATATCTGAATACGTTCACCTCCTCCATACTCTCTCCCTCCAATCTGATATCCAATCTTTCATCACCTAATCTTTTTGTTATCCTCATAACCTTACTCTTTCCTGTATTCACCTTTAATTTTCTTCTTTTGCACACCTGGACCCTACCAAATTCATCCACCAATCTCTGCAACTTCTGGGCCTTGCAGAGTTCAATACTTAATATCAATCAAAACCTGTCTGAACACAATGTACCGCTGTTGAAAGTTTCAAACCAACCAGCAAAGGCATGCGTTGACCCCCGAAACTCTCTCCAGGTAAACTCCAGGTAAACCACCTTCAATTACAACGAACCTTTTATTGGTATTGGTAACAATGGCGTTTTTAGAGACCCTCAAATTATTGTATGAAAATAAAATACAAGAATTAAAAACCAAATAATTTTGGCAAATTGGTGTTGACTATACTGCTCTCAAAACTCAAAATAGTGAAATATTTGCAAAGAACTTACCGATATAATTTGCTGAGCAATGAGGGCGGCCATCTTGTCGTTACACCTGGTCTCCATTACCAGGTTCAGCCACTGAGCTTCCTTCAATTTTGCATTTTTTAGTAAATCCACCAGTTCTTCTGCGTACTTTTCTAAGACAGTGGAATATTTATGAGCCAAAAGCCCACTTAGGTGCAAGAACACATTCTGGTAATCAGATAATTTGACTGAATTTAAGTCAATTCCAAGATCCTTCATTATGCAATTCAGCGATTTACTTATTTTTTTATCTTCCAAAATAGTAGCCAGAGATGACGCAGATATTTCTTTGGGTAAATTATACTTTTGGCCTAATGCTTCTACATCTCTTTTTACCGATTCCACATCAATCTTCTCAACTATAGACAAAAAAATTCTGAAAGCAGCATAAAATTCCATTATACTCTTGTGTGGCATAAAAAGAGTTTTGTAACCAAAAGCAGTCCATTCATTTTCCACAGAAAGAAAGGCAGAAAACATGTCATCACAAGGTAACTCCAGCTCCTCGCACTTGTAGTGAAGAATTTTGGCTGAGTTATTGGACAGTTGTATGTGTCCAAGAGAATGAGTTTCTAAGGACACTTGGTATAATGTTTTCAAGAACTCATCACACTTCTTTTCTAGCTTACCTGAAGGAAGCGTAACAACACCGCGATTTTCTTTGAGCCTTGTCAACAAGCGGGATTGAATCAGCTTGTGCAAAGAAATATAGAGATCTGTGGCTGTTGTCAGTGAGTTGACATGTTCTGGATCAGAGGCCCACAGGTATGTCAAGAGAGTCAAGTTTAGTGGTAAACGGAAGTGCTCACTAAGTCGTGTCTCTGACTGCTTCATGAAGTCCACTAATTTGTCTGTATTTTGAGTACTTTGCCCATTGTTGCTCATTTCTTCATGAAGTTTTCTGATAAACTCAACTCTGTTTTCCTGTTTGATTCCTTTGAGCCTGGTGTGTACCCTGAGTTGGTTGTGAAGTAAGCTGGGTATTTCAGGAAGCATATTTGGCCTAGTGGTAATCAAGAGGCGAAGATTACCATCGCTTCCTCGTACATGTTTATGAAGTAATTCATTTAGCAGTTTTTCAGAGGCTGGGTTTAACTCATCCAGTCCATCGAATATGAGCAAAACCCTGAGATCAAGCACAGATTTTAGTAAATCTTCCTCAGTTAAATTATACGATGCTTTTGGCATAAGCACTGAAAGCAAAGATATGAAACTGGATACACACCGATTCCTAGCCTCAGTATAAAGGACCAGATTATATTTATGGAGCCCATCAAAGGTGGATTTTTCCCCAGCACTCCATTTATCAAGAATTAGTTTTGCCAAGGTTGTTTTACCAGCACCAGCCTCTCCTTCCACCAGGGTAATTACTGGCATACTTCCATCTTCTGTTGTTAGTTCCAACAGAGTTTCATAATCTACATCTTCAGAATAACTGGCATTGTTGACTTTGTTTCGGGTTACTTCAAGCCGAGTAAAAACTTTGGAAACCTGCAGTGTATTTCTGCCAGAAATAAACGATGCTGGATCAATCTTAGATAATTTCTCATATTCCGATAAAAGTTCACATTTTCCCATTTCACGTACTATATCCTTTTTCTCTTCCCTAAGCTTGTTTATTTCACTGTTATACTGTTCAAAATCAGCAGAATATA